GGATGGGGATGGATGGCTCCGCGTGGCCGGACACCACACGGGGTCTGCGCGGCGAGGAGGACACAGCGCTGAGCAGCCCGGCCACGGAGGGCTGAAGTTTTTCCCTCACCTCCGTGCACACAGCTGCAATATCCCAGCACATCCTGGCTTGGAAATGGATGGAGATGGTTGTCACAGCGAGAGAAGAAAAGAAGAGAGGGCATTTTGTGAAGGCCAGCTACCCTCACCAGCTCCGCAGACACGGTTTGCTCACCACCCGTGTGGTCCCACCATGCTTAGGCAGCCAAACACTGCCTTCTTGTTCATAAATGAGAAATAAATAAATAAATAAACGGCATTTTGAAACGAAACAATCTAATTACGGAATAAATATTTAGCTTGAGATGAGCAGACAGACATTCAAAGCCACTTTCTGACATGACAGATGAGCCGCGCGGAGCCGCGCCGCGGGCACTGCACGCTGCTCAAACCCGATTTACAAACACACGGCGTAGCAGCAAAAATAGACACGACCCGCAAACATCGCCTCTCAGACAAACATCTCCTTTAAAACGCCGTCGGGGATTTGGGTGGCAGCCGGACCTGGGAACAGCGTCCCCAGCTCCGTGATGGACCCGTGCCAATGGCACCGCAACAGCACCCGCTGGTGGGGCTGGGGAATTCGGTAACTGAGCATCAAATGACCCCCGCGTTTTGATATCAGAAATAGGTAAAACCACAGCGATGGCAGGGAAAATGTGAATGTGAATGGCTCCTTGCAGAAGCAATCTCTGGAGCACAAATATCGCTGAAGCTGACTTCCAGCGTGCGGTACTAGCCGTGCTTTTCAGGTTTAGGTGAGGAGCAGGAGGCACCATGCGGGGTTGTGGGCAGGAGGTGATGTCCCCAAACAGAGCCCACAGCCCATCAGACCTCCCAGCAGAGGGGACCCAGGTGCCTCCCCAGTGCCGTGCTGCCATGCTGCACCATCCCTGTATCTTTCAGTCACCTTCTGAGTCTACTTTTAGAGTTAGGACCACCTCCAGGCCCCCAGATTTCCCACCTGAGGGCTTGTTCTCTTTGCACGAAGCAGCTGTGACCAGGCCACCAGCAGCCAGGTCTTAGCCCTGTTCCTCAGGTTGGTGCTCGGTGGCTCTTGCAAGGCTGAGGAGGAGAAGCAGGTCCCGTTCCCGGTATAACCACAGGCCCTCAGCGGGGCAGCACAGCTCTGGCTGTGGAAATGGCCATCCTGCACCTGGAGAGCCAGGAGATCCTGGGATACCACAGCCCCAGGCACCTTACCGTGATCTGGAGAGATGAGGGCTGGTAACACCAAGCTCTGGGACCTCTCCAAGACATTTGCAGGAACACCGTTTAAAGAAGAGACCATTCAAACACCACCAAAATCTGCCTTTCTGCTGCTCCTACCTCGGATCGCCAGCTCTTCCCAAGCCGCATCGTTCTCATGGGTCATTCCTTTTGGGCACACTCATGGTGTGCACTTTCTCCGTCTTGGATGTGAAATAACCTTTAAAAGCAGGTCTGGAGTGAAGTCGGGGCCAGAACGAAGCTGATGAAAACACCGCTGATGGCTCTGGGCATGACAGGACTGTGTCCCGTGGGGACAGCCTGGCTGCTGGAGGGTGCAGGTGGAGGTTTGGCAAGGACAACTCCCCCCCGCAGCCCCGAGCAGTCAGGGCAACGAAGCAGAGCTGGGAAATTGGGAAATGACTGTGGGCAGTGCACAGGAGAGGAGATTCACCCCTCACCTCTGCTGTCCCCACGGCAAATGTCCTTGTGTTTTGGGCAGGGATGCTCAGAGCGGGGTAATTGAGAACTACAGGGCCCCGGGGGAGCTGTGCAGGCACGGCTGCGGGGAGGCAAGGGGGTGGCTGCACGTGGGCACTTTGGGGCCTCTCGGGATCCCTGCTAAAAGCAGAAGGGCACACGGAGCCACACGAATCCACAGGGCTTGCAAGCAGGACATGGAGGCACACACATACACCCCACTGACAGCAAAGAAGGGTCTCCGTGTGCCAAGGGGGGATTCACCACTGCTGGGAGAAACCCTCCCTGCTCCCCGCTGCAGGGGAACACCCCTGAGACCCTCACCCCTGCATTGCCCAATTTGGCCCTCAGGACACCTCCAGGCTCCTCTCCCCAGCACCACTCACACCATGGCATGAACAGCACGGTGCCTCCCACCTCCTGAGGGTTGGGATCAGGCCAGGTTTTCCCTTTCCTTGGGTGCACTGAGGGGGAAAAGCAAAGCCCTGGTGCTTGCACCGTGCGGAGAGGTTCCCCAGCCTGCGGGGCGGGGAGGACGGGGGCACCCTTGGTAAATAATGGAGGAGGGCAGTGCTCTGGCTCCGTGGCATGAGGGCTCCGGCTGGGCACGAAGGCTATTTTAGCAGCGATGGAAACACGCAGGGGCTGCTGCTGCTGCTGCTGCAGGGCTCCGTGAAATCAGTGATTTCTGAGCCAAGTTCAGCTGGAGAGCGCCGCTGCTATAAAAAGCAAAGTGACTTTGCGCTTTGACGCTTCCTCCCGGCACACACACACACACACACACACACAAAGTGATTTGTGATTCAAAAGCTGAGGAATTTATCATCAAAAAGAGCCGGGGCAGAGCTGGGTGTTTACACATGGAAGAACAAGACAGGCACCGAGAGCAGATGTATTTATATCCATCCATTAATAAAGAGAAGGAAAAAAAAAAAAAAGAAAAAAAAAAAGCCAAGTCAACCATACCTTTGTGCTAAAGTTAGAGCACGGCACTCGGCATGTCCTTAAAAAGGCAAGAAAAGTTTCCGCAAAGTGGGACAGCTGCTCCGGGTGCCCGCGGGCTGCAGCGAGGGAGCCGAGCGCCGAGGGGCTGCGAGGAGCCAGGCGAGGGCTCGCTGGGTGCAGCATGCCAAGGCCGGGCTGGGTTTGTGGGGCTGCCTCCACCAGACAGCAGAAAAAGGACCGGCAGCACCCCGGGGTTGGGGCTGGAGGCTCCCTGCGAGCCCAGGGTGAAGGGCTGGAGCTGGAGCCAGGCCCGTGGGTGGTGCAGCCGCAGTGAAGGTCGAGGTTGGGCAGCCTGAGGCAGCAGAGCTCGCGGGGCTGGGTGACATTTAGGAATTCCTCAGCAATAACTCACTGCAGCCAAGTCCCTCCGTCCGTCCGCGGCGCGTAGGGCTGGAGTTTTTCTCGCCTCGAGGCCCGAACGCCAGGGTGTGTTACAGCCCTAGGAAAAGCCAGATCTCTGCGCCTTGTAAGGTGCTTCCAGAGAGCAGTGAGTGATCCTTCTTTTGGGGGAATAAACAGATAGATAGCTCTTTTTATAAGGACAGAAAGGAAGCGTGCAGGCAACGCTCCCTCCCACAGCAGCTGCTGAGGTCTCCCATCAGAGGGATGCTCGGGCTCCCAATCCCACAGCAGTGCGGGCAACAGGAGGCCAGCAGCAAACCCCTGAGCACAGGTCGGCTCTGCTGCTGGTCAGGGCTTCTCCCTGCATTAGGATTTGGGGTTTAAATCTTTTCACTGAGCAGTTTTGGGACCGCCGGGACCGCGGTACCTCCAGCCTTTGCAGACGCTGCCCACGCACGCCGAAACGCGCGCTGCGGCTGGGGCTCAGCCACAACCGCCTCGTGAATCATCCATTATTTATTGTTATTTACACTTGCAGAAGGGAAACGCTTTAAGCCGGCAGCACTCCTTTCCTCAACCAACCCGCAGTCTGTTCAAAGAACCGGTGTCAGCTTCCTTGGGCGAGCTCCGCTCCCGATGAGCCCGCCTTGAGCAATGCGACACCTTTAAGGGCTTGTTAGCCCATTCCAGGATCAGCCATTTTATTGCTTTGCCTTGCAATGAAGGCAGGTTGATACCTGCAACGCCTCTACTTCACTTTTTAAGATCACCCCTGCCTTCCACCTTTGTCCCGGCACGGAGGGGGCTTCGTTTCGAGACCCCTCCTTGCTCCCCCGAACCAGCTCCTCGGTGACAATCACCCAGCCCTGACTTCCAGGCGTCTAATTTTAGCAGTTTCTGCTGAACATCCTCCCGGGTTATTGTTAGAACGAAATGAGCATCATCTGACAGGAACACGCTGCAGCTCCTCGGTAAACACCGCGGAGGAATGCTCCGGGAGCGCGCTCCTCCCCGCAGTGCTACCCACGGCCCCGCCGCCCGGGGGCACCCCGAACCCCCTTCCCTTTGCGCCCGGAGTCCTGCAGCTCCAAAAAAAATAAAATAAAAATAAAAACAAATAAATAACCGTGTGCTGCCCTCAACTGTATTCGGCCTGCTCCGCTGTATCATTTCACTCGGCTGTGTTTCCATAATTACTTGCAAATTGCCCACAGGGATTTATTATTTGTTATTTTTAGGATCGTTTCAGCGGAAAAGGCATCTGATTATTTGTGTATATATCTGCACGGCATCTCTCACTTGAGGATCTCGGAGCGCTCCACGGAATATGAATGAAGCTCCCCTCGTCCGCCGCGATGCTCCTTTTGCAGGCAGGACAACGGGAGCGGCGATTAAAAGCCGGGGCCGAGCTCCCGGCGGAGATTTCTGCCCGACACAAGCGCGGCGGCTTCCAGCCGGGCGCGTTAACGATCAAACCCGCGCTAACGCCAGCAGCGGGAGCCCGGCTACACAGGCATGAAAGAAAAAACACCGATACTGCCACTGGAAACGGCCACGTGGCCTTCCAAGCTGACGGGTTCAAACACAGATTAGGTTTAGGGTGGGGGAAAAAAAGGCTCCCTATCGCACGGCAAACACCCGGCGCTTTCTGCTAACGGGCAGCGGGGAAAGGAGTGGGGTTACTTGGAGCACGAGCACACCAGGCTGAGATTTTGCTGGTGAAGCTTGCCAAGGTTTCGCCCTTTCTTGGTGCTACGACATCTCCAGGCTCGTTCCTCCAAGCAGCTCCCCCCTTTCTTCACGTGGTGGCCGGCGGGGAGATGGATGGCACCAGCGCACCTCACCTGGGGCACAGCAAAACAGAGAAGAGGCAGGAGGCAGCAGGGTGGTGTTTCTCTCTTTTATTTAAAAACAGTGCTTCATTACCATTTGCAAAGGGTTAGGAAGGGTTTCCCCCCTTGCTTAGAGTTTATAAAAGCCAGCAACATGATCAATAATTTATACACATGGATAGTAATACAAAAAAAAGGAATAAAAGCTAAAGATCTAACTACTCCGACCTTCACAATTCCAGCTACTTGATAATAATAGGAATAACCCAATGAATACTGTATGGTCTGAAAGCTACTATACAATATGATACTTAACGAGGGGGGGGCGGGAAGTTAGAGGCTGTCACAAAGCCCTGGGATGCAGATACTGCTTCTCCAGAGTCGGCAGGGAAATGGGACCCTGGGCAAGCGGCTCGGGCGTCCTAGGAAATGATCCAGGGGGAAGGGACCGCGTCCCGCGGGGGGACGCGTCCTGCTCCCCGGCGGTACCTGGCAATGGGAGGTGCTGGGGAGGCCGCGTGAAGGGGCGAGTCGGTCGCTGCCTTTGGAGGTGCTGCGGCATCTCAGCCTGGCACGGAAAATCTCCAAGTCTCAAGTAGATCAGCCTGTGAGGTCAGTAAAATGCTCCGCCAGCTCCACGGCGCTCTACGGCCCTGGCTCTCCTTCGCTGTCAGCCCCAGGTTTTAGCTCCAGCTATGTACAAGCAGGATTTATCAGATTTAAAAAAAAAAAAAAAAAGGGAAAAAAAAAGAAAAAGGAAAAAAAAAAAAAAAAGAAACCAAAACAAATCGTATCCCCTGGGGTAAGAGAGGATTATTTCGTCACTTGATAGCGCAGCCGAACCAAGCTGCCAAAACTACACCATGCGCGCGCACACAAAATAACAGAAAACTAAAAAAACAGAAAAATAATAATAAAAAAAAAAAACATGAGCGAACCGAGACTGCTCCGGTGGGAGGCCTGATTTCTGGCTTCTGTAAGGAACTGGCTCCTGGGGGAAACAACGAGCCCCTCCAGCGGCGGAGAGCTGGCAATCTGGCAGGAGACTTACTACTGACCCACTTCAGGGAAGGAAAAAAAAATTAAAAATTAAAAAAAAAATATCAAGATGAACTGGCATTTTGCTGACTGCCAGCCAAAAAATGACTGTTGGGGTGGACGGCTTCGGACACCAGCCATCTCCTGGTGAGATGGGGCGAGGCTTTTGGCTGGAGTGCCCTCGTCCCACCACGTGCCAAGAGGCTGCGGGGGACGCGGGTGCCGGGCCCTGCAGGCGCTCAGCCCCGTGCCCAGAGGGCAGTCGCTGCCAGAGCTTTCCAACACCCCAAAAAATTGCCTTCCAGGGTCAGCAGCAGCAACGGAGCCGGGAGGTGGGTGTCCCCACGTCCCGCTGGGTCTGCTGCTGCTGCTGCGTGCGCTGCAGAGGGCCGGGGGCTGCCCTGCAAACTCCTGGCTAGGGGAACGCGTACCAGGGAGAAACCCCAGAGCCTGCTTGGGAAGGGCCCCATTTCGCACTCCGGCCATCGGCCTCCTGCTTGCCTGGGTGACTGGAGTTTTCCTTGCAGAAGAGGAGTTTTACCGGGGTGGAGAGGGTGGAGAGGGCAACCGGTAAGGTGGGGGGGAGGGAAGAGGCTTTTCAGACATTAACATCACCAAAAATAGTGTTTTATGCAACAAAGAATCAAGTCTCACTGGTGTATACTACAAAAATGTTGGACATTTTTTCCAAGAGCATGACAAAATAAAAACACAGAGAAGTCTACATCGGATGTTCATCGCGTTCACTAGGTTGGGTTGCTGCTTCTTGTTGGTTTTCTCCCCCCCCCCCCACCCCCCCCAGCCCCATCCTATATTAAAACAGTGCAAACAGGTAACACGCTTCACACATCGCCCCTCCGAAAACGGGGACAGCATCCCCCGACCCCGCCAGGCCGGCAGCTGCCCGCGGGCGTCCTTCCCCTTTGGAGCCAGACCCGGAGCTCGCCCCTGCTTTTCCCTTTAGCCGATTTCTAAGTGCTCCCCTAGGCGTGATCTCCTCTGCTCTCAGGGCTGGGACAGGACGATGTGAACGGGGACGGGCTGGGGATGAACTGGGTAAGGGCTGGGAGGCTCTGCCTGGTGCCCGAGACTCTTTCCAGAAGGAAAAGGCTGGGTGACGACTCGGTGTCACAGCCGCCTCACGTTTGAGCCTGCTGTTCAGACAGCCCCCCTCAGCCCTCGCCGTGCACTTCGCACCCACAGATCTCAGACCAGGAGCCGAGCGGCTGCCCTCTCGCTTTAGGGACGGGGAAACAGGCCTGGAGGAGCGCCCCGACTGCTCCCACATCGTCCTTGATGATCACCGACAGAGCCCTGAGCATCCCGCAGCTCCCCAGCAAGCCCTCGCCGCGCCCAGCCCGCAGCTCTCGGGCACTTCAGCAGCCGAGAAACACGGCTTTGTCTGCCCGAGCTCACCTCACGGGATCTGCACGACTGCTTCGCCTGCCGGAGGGCTGCAGGAGGCTCACACCGGGCTCCCTGCTGGCTCCAGGTCCCAAACCCCACGGGGCAGCCTGCCCAGCACGGGGACGGTCACATCGGGGTGCAGGAGCGCTGCGAGGCGTTCCCAGCAGGGCACGTGCTACGCCAGTAAGAGCTCACCTTTGTACCAGCACAACTCTATATCCACACGGACAGACGGACCAGCAGATTTCAGAAGAAAAAATAATAATTAAAAAATAAAAAAATTAGCACTTCAATCCAAAATTATACCGGTATTAATACGCTGTGCTGGCCAGACCTACTGCAAGACAGTACAGACAGCAACACTTCGAGGAACGTCTCGTCCTCCACACCAAGAGGAATCCCGGTGCCACCGGGCAAGGTGGCAAGCAGCAAGCTCTTTGCCAGCCCGCCTCGTGCAGGTTTTCCCTTTGAAAGCCAAGCCCTGGGGACTCGCGCCTGCAGATCCATCTCCGGGACAAGCACTCGCTGCTGTCTGGGCCCGGGGTTAACTCATGAAGAGTCAATCATTTTGCATAGGGAGATATAGGCTTTGTCCTCGCTTCTCCAAAAGATGGGTACATAACCAAGGCTTGGCTGCCCTGAACCCATCTCAAGCCAGCTCGCTGCGCCTCCGAGCGAACCCGGAGCTGCTGTTTGCCAAGAAGAAAGCGCGGCGCTGCCGCCGTGGCACAGCATCTCCTCCAGAAACCTCGCTGCAAAGCCTCAAGCTGGCGGGGAAGCTTTTGGGAGGCGCGGCGCTCCGCAGAGCCAGCCGCCTCCAGCGCTCCAGGCACCACGAGCGGGTGGCCGGGGACGCGGTGACAAATTAACTCCGGGGCACGAGGGGAGCTGGCCGGGCTCGGGGAGGCCCCAGGCTGGCTGGCGTGGAGCAGGCATCACTCGGAGATCCTACAGCAGAGGACTGACTGCGGCCCCGCAAAGGGTGGGCGCTTCCGCACGCAAGCCCTCCGACTCTCAGGAGCCGCGGGGTGGGCTGAAGCCGCCGTGCATAGACTGCGCCGGGAGGCAGGAAGGGGCCGAGAGAGAGGCAGAGCTGGGGACGGGGACGATTGCACCGCCAGGGGCAAGGGAGGGCACGCGGGGATGGCGAGCCCAGCTTTTTGGGGAGCCGCAGTCAGAACCAGCTGAACTGAACCGCAGGACGGGGGGCGGGGAGGGCGAGCGCGGCCGTTCCTACCCCCGCCTCCTCCCTCAGCTCAGCCAAAGCCCCCCGCGTGCCCCCCGCTTCCCCTCGTTTCCTAGGTTTTGTGAAAGCCCCCGACCGCCCTGTTCCCCCCTTCCCCGTTTTCAATCTAACTAAAATATTTATATACAAACAACAAAAAAAATTGTCATAACAGCAACAAACCAAACTTTGGCTTGGAAAAAAAAAAATTAATAAAAACCAACAACAAAACCAGGAAAAAAAAAAAAACAAAAACAACAACAACAAAAGGTGGCCAACAGGCTGGCAGTTTGGTGTCCCCTTTTTCTAGCTATTCCTCCAGAGAATCAATAGCTTTAGGGTCGCTAGCTTAACTCATGGCTTCCCCATCCTTCTCCTTTCGGTGCCTCCTCTCTGCTGCGCCCAGAGAGGCTGCGTGTTTCGCTGGGGAAGAGGAAAAAAAAACGCGTGGTTGTGCATGGCTGGGCCAGGACACCTCCTCGGGGAGCTCTGCTGGCTGACACCGCTTAGTGTTAAATGCAGGAGGTTTCCTATTCTGGTATCAGCTGGGGGTGGAGAAGAAGGCGTGCGGCAGGAGCTGGGAGAGGCTCCACCAACCAACCCGTGCTCCAAGCAGCCCTTCTGGGGGTGAAACGCTCACCCCAGTACCAAGTGAGAGAGTTGAGGCAGAGAAGTGCAGGTTTTTTTAGGCTAACACAGGGTCAGAGAGAGCACAAGAGCACCTGCCTCTGAGCATCGGGGTTGCTGGGAGCGCTCGGGGCCAGCGGCTGAGCGGGGAGGGCTGGAGAGCGGCAGCTCCCCGCCGCAGCACTGCTCCTGCCGTCAGCTAAAAAGCCAGCTCTGTCCTCCCCTGAACGGTCTCTCCTCTTCCAAATCTTATCATATGTAGTGTCAATACAGACCCGGCAGCCCAGGGGCGTCAGCTTTCTATGGCAGGCTGAGCAAAACGGCCCCGGGGTTTGCAACGTGGCTCTGTGAGGGCCCTGGATACAGCTCGTGGTGGGACGTTCCTATGAATTCAGAGCTTGTGCAAGCCGCTTCTGCCTCCCCTCAAACTCCGGACCTAAACAAAACTACCTCAGGATCACGCTTGGATGTACACAACGCTCTTCCCCCGCCACGAACCCACATGCGTGACCCTCACCTCAGCAGCTTATACATGACTCGTTTGTCTCGCTCGTGTTATTTGGAACAGGTCACTTGCAGTAGTGCCTGAGCAGCTCAGGATGAGCAGGAGGAGAGAGACCTCGCGGGCTGGACCTCGGCGTGCCCGAGCACGGCTCTGCTGCTTGAGTCTTCAGCCTCAGTTTCTTCATCATCGAGGCCTCACCGCCGCCTTGTCGCCGCTCGCTGTCCGCAGCAGAGGTGCTCTGTGGGGTGGTGCATTGCGTCTGCCACTCCTCGAGGAAGAGAGGGAGGAAGGGGACAGCAAGGGAGAAAGATCTTGAAAAGGAGGATGTGAAACTAAGGTAATTACAGCCACCAGCAACGGACAACAATCAGCTAGAGTAAGTTGTGTGTAGGGGGAAGATCATCCTCCGCAAAAAAACTCCTTTCAAAGTCTCGTCCCCTATACAGCGGGTAACAGCCAAAGTCTTTGGGCAGGTTGAGGAAATCTTCTCTTGCCAAGTCTAAAGTCCTGACACTGCTGCAACTGTCCCAAACCTGTGCGCGTCAGATGGTGATAAAAAACGAGGAAAGTCTCTGCATTTCCCCCTTTTTCCGCGTGTAAATGACTATTTCCCACCAGCATTTAGGTCCCAGCCACAGCCAGGGAGTGCTTCCTTCTGCAGACCAGAAACACAGCAGGTGGAGACTTCTCCCTCACGTCCTCCTGTCTCCCAGGCACCAAGCACCAGACCCAGGGAAGTAACTCTGTCTGTGTGTTCCTGATTAATTGCATGATATTCGGTTTCTAACAGCTTTCCTTAACGCTAATCGCCTTTTCCGTGATTGGTAGGATAAGCTATGCACCAACATACAGACACGGAAATGCATTATTTTTACCACAGTTAAAAAAAAAATAAAAGGAAAACAAACAAAAAAAAAATAAAACAACCAAAAAAAAAAAAAAAAAGCACAATCTTTGGAACAAAAGAATTAAAGGCAGAAATTTAAAGGAAAAAAAATACATATTCAAAGAACATAGTGAGGTATAAAAAAGTATTTTCTCTTTTGTTTTTTGTTTTTCCTCCTCATCTTGCTATAGAGTTCCTCTACTAGTAAATATTGCAATAGCCAGGCCTCATGAACTGGGGGGGCTGTCCCACTTGCAGGGGGCTCACGTCACTTCAGTAGGGGGCAAATCGGCTGTAGCCACCTCGGTATAAACTCGCCTGTAGAAATTAAAGGAGAAGAGAAGAGGTTGTTAGGTAGCGAACCTGGAAGAAACCTTCCGGGGCAGTGCCCGAATGCTCTCAGAAGGATTAATGGAAGTGTCCTGGCACTGACCCGCAACCATCACTCCCCCTAAGGAGTAAGAGAGGAGAACTCTGCCTGCAAAAACCAAAAAACATAGCTCTGGAGGACGTGCTCACAGCTGGAGGTGAACTTTGGCAAGCCCAAGTCACAGGGAGTTCAGTACCAGAGGCGGGACTCACAGGTCATAACCTCTGAGCCAGCTGTCTAGACTGACTTTTTGGACAGCAGCCACACACTTCCAGGATGCTCTCCACCTCACCTTAAGGTGGAGATCTAAAACAGACACGATGACCTGGTATCCTAGAAATCCCTGCTTTTCCTCCACTGACCCTAACGGGAATCCACGTGATGCCCTGAGCCCAAAGGGAGGTGCTCCACTGCAGCCAGCTGCATGTGGGTGTCTTTTCCTCCTCGCACATTTGCGTTGCAGCCTTTGCAGCACCACAGCTCCTGCCCTGGCTGGAAGCAGATGGGCAAGCACGTGTTTTCTGCAAGCTGTGCCGCTCCCGTCCTATGCCAATATACCTCATCCCTGCCCTTGTGTAACTCCTGCTGGCAGGCAGGACGCCGCATCCTTCCGCCGGTGGAAGAGGGAACCAAGTGGAGCAGCTTTGCTGCAAGATGTCACAAGAACAACTTATTCCCTCGCTTTCCCTTGGGCTGATTTCTCCTCGTGCAACAGAGCTCTAAAAAGCTCTTAATTAAGTTAATGAAAAAGGCAAGAAAGGATGTCCGGCATCTCCAGCCACTGCTGGTTCTTGCTCTATCCATCTCCTTGATATGGTTATACTGAGTCAGCAACGACATTCTGGCTCCTGATGTTTTTGGTCATCCTTCAACCTCCTCCTTTGTACAAGATTTACAAGACTAAGTGGTATCTGGTCTCCTATAACCCGGCTCCTTTCCTAGAGCACACAGACAGACACAGGAATGCAGAATGGGGAGCCAGCACCGCAGCTAAGGACCTCCTCCCTCAGTGCACAGGTATTTCTGGATAGAGTTTCGGTCCCTGACACACACCGTGAGCAGCTGATGCCCGTGCTAGGAATGAGAAACAGCACAAGGAAGAAAATCTCACTTACCACAGCTCCAACTCCGTAGCTAGCGGCAGGGGCAAGGGCATGGTAAGGATCTGCTGTGTACACCCTGCCATAACTGAAGAGAGGGAGAAAACATGAGAGAGAAAAAAAAAAAAAAAAAAAAGTCACTTTGGAGGGGCAGAGAAACAGCCTTCTGACCACGGGCGATGGAGGAAGCAGCATGCCCTTCTACACACATGTATGCAGACATGCACACACATGCACACAGGTGGCCCCTCTCCGCAGAGAGCCGATGGGCATGCTGCCATGCACCGTATGAGATGGGCAGGGACCGGCCTGCGAGGAGGAAGGTGGCAGAAGCCGTGAGCTCAACCTGTAGGAAAGAGGTCAGCGCCTTGACGAGACGGTTAGTGCATCCCTTACCTCGAGCGATGCAATTTGGGAGGAGGGCGGCTGCTGGTGCTAGTGCTACTGGCACGGTAGCAGCTGCTAAGTGGAGAGCAGCAAAGGGTTCTCCAGCATGAGGAGGGAGCATGAACTTTAAATGCTCTGACATGCGCAGATTAAAGATTAAAACACAGCCTTACTGCACGGGAGATGACAAATCTTAAGGCAAGCACTGATGCTGATAACCCTCTGCATTTACACAGGACCACGTGTTAAAGCGCCCGAGAGTACTGGACGAGCTGAACCCTTCTTACTTCATGGATGGGGAGAGAAATGCACCCAGCGATGGAACGACCTGCTCAGAGTCACAGAGCAAGGAGCCAGCGATGCAAACCAGGTCTCTCAACTCTGAGGCCGTAAGCACACTGCCTCCTGCGCCCAGAGAACCACCAGGATAAAGGAAGAGGCCAGGATTTGTGCCAGCCCACACACACCGGAGGGCAACAGTGCCCCAGGAGCAGAGAGAGACAAGTCGTGCACTCGAATCTTTCACGTTGGGTTGTGCATGCAAGTGTGCACGTGCGAGTGCAAGTAAGACACAGAAACGGGGAGAGTAGAAGTACTGTAATGGATCAATGCTCCTCGAACCTCCAAGCACAGCAAGCCAGCCCCCGGGGATGCCTCCCCCTTACATACCCATCGCTGTAAGCTGCTGCAGCGGCTGCAGCGGCCGTGGCTGCTGTTGCAGTAGCAGGCTGTGCATATCTGTAGGCTGCGTATCCACCCTGCAGGAGAGAAGAGAACTGACTTTACAGATACCTGTCCACCCACGCAGAGCCAAAAAAAAATAAAAAATTGAAAAAAAGAAAAAAAAGAAAGAAAAAAAAAAGGAATCACACACATCACAAGGAGAGGAAGTGTTTCAAACTGCATCAGCTCCCATGTCTTATCTAGCACAAGCATCGCCCATTAACTCCTATCTCCCCTTGCTCAGAAGGACTAAGGAGGCTCTTCCATTTCCCAGTTTAGCAGAAGGAATAAACTGAAGTGAGCCTGGGCATGGTGATATCCCTGTAGGAAACTAAATTTGGCACGGAGGAACGGAAAATCAGAAGAGAGCTGAAATACTGTATGCAATGCAATTTCTATGTCCCCTTCCTCTTACGCTGGGGAAATCAGAGGTGGGCACTTTCTGTGAAGCATGTATTTTAGAAAGGGCATCATTCAGAGGAGCTCCTGCTTTTTTTCTCCTTTGTCTCTTTTCTAAGCCTGGGAGACCCCAAAGGCTAGAATTTCTTTTGGTTCAGATGCATAAAAGCATCAATAGCCAGAGAAGCCAAAAAGCAATCAGTAAAAGAAGGTCAGAGAAGTCAATCTCTGGTGGTCTAAAGGGCTGCCAACAAGCAAATTGACACAGATACCAACCGGAGCATTCTCCTCTCCCTCAGAGTAAGAAAGAAACAGGTTGGGGGAAATTACGTCTGAACAGACCGTACTGCTGCTGCATTTACACCTCCGTTACACATCTGTAGTAAAGCTCTTTAAAATGCTTGCACCGGGAAGAGGTAGATCCTAAATATGTAGTTACAGCTGAGCTGGCAAAACATAAATCCTGGCCCAGAGGAAGGCTTGCAAGTGTCCTACCAGAATTCCCACCAACAGAGGAAGCCCAGGCTCAGCCCCACGGCTCCGTGCACCTCGCAGTAACGAGGGACGGATGCCTGCCACCTCTCAGACCGGGAGCTAAGGCTGCGTGGCAGGCACGACAGGGCTCTGAAGCCCAGGTTAGATCTTTCCTGACTGTATGCTTCTGAGCACGTTTCTGTAAACTCTATGGGGGAGCAATGGTAAATGAAGCGTGGCTTTGATTTGCCAGAAACACAATGAGCCATAAATAACATCAGAAAACTCCAGATTGCTTCTGGCTTTTTTTTTTTCCCTTTTAAGTGACATTTCAAGAGTCGGAAGGACCAGAAGGCAGGCTTATGCTCTTTACCTCCAGAATCAGCTCAAAATATCTCCACCGCTTTTTCCCCTATAAATCTTATGGCTGTATGTAACTAAGAGGACAAGATCAGCTCCACTGCAGGGCAGACTTTGTCTTGGCTCAGCAGTGCTGTTTGGGTCTAGACAGCCTTTAAAATAGAAGTCATGATTTTAACTTCATTTTGGTTGCCCTTGTGGGACTGCAAACCCCATGATGGTTTATACGCTACCCCAAACATACCTGGGGACGGTTTCTTACTCTGGAGGAGAGGGACTTGCAGAGCTTTTAATCTCCTAGTTAACAGTAAGGCAAATAATCACCTGTGAAACATCACCACATTGCTTGAAAGGAACGTTGTGTCATGGTTTTGTCCCCCTTACCTAGTGGTTTCAATCCCTGCCCTTCAGATTGATGTTCTGGGGAGGTTTTGGCTTCTTTCTGGCACGCTGCCGCTGTGCCACCACTACCTCCGCCTCCAAAAGATGACAGAGACAAGGGGAACAAGGGGGCAATCCAAATGAAACCTTCACCGACCTCACCAAATTAGGAGCTTGTGGCGTTTCCTTAAGCTCGTGACCTTCCTGAACTCTTGGTGTGGCCTGTCACTTGGGCACGGCGTGGAAGACGTTTTCCCTTGGTGCTGTCCTTCGGCAGGGCAGGCTGCTGCAGCCCCCCCATAATTCCCACCCTCCTTCCCACCTACCAGCCACATTTCACATCCAAAGCCGTTCCAAAATGTGACTGGCACAGGCCCTACACATGGCAGCGAGATGCAGTTTGAGACCAGAAAAGGGTTATCATGTAATTCTCGTTTAACTCACGTCTCTCGTAAAGGAAAACAAAACCAAAACAAAAGAAAAAAGGGAAAAAAAAAAAAAAAAGAAAAAAAAGAAAAGGGTTGGAATCAGGTGTGGGAAGAGGGGGAGGGATGGCGTAACATTTATTAATCAAAATTAAAAACTAAGCATGCTGACATCTGGAGCTAGAACAACCAGCAAAGTCACCACGTTCAGACTCATATTGGCTAGTTTCTATCCATCCCAGCATTCTCTTGGGACAGCAGTTCGCCCTAGGCTCTACCACAAGCTCAGTGAAGTACACAGCCTCAAGTACTAGAGCGTGCAGCCACAACAACCTGCTATTACGGAAACAGTCAGTCACCACTGGAGTTAACATTCCAACCTCGACGACTCCCCGCAGCCTCCCGCCCTCGCCAACCCCCCCCCCGGAATGGCTCCCACCCTAGCCCTGTCCCACACCACGATGTTAATAATTATAACAAGCAATAACCCATCTGTTATATCAGAGAAGGGAACAGAGACTCCACTGAGAGATTTAGAGCGGGATGTTAACATTTCTTCAAGTCGACTGCACAACAAAGGAAAAAAAAGAAAAAGAAAAAAAAGAAAAACAGAAAAAATAAATAAAAAACAAAAAACAGGAGAAATAATTCATTGGAGAAATGAAGTTAAGAAATAGCTGACATGTGTATTGCTTTTTTAACCATGCACTGATGCAAAATTGAAGCTACTGTTAATTTAAAAAAAATGTCAGGGGGTAGGGGTACACACTCCCGGGCAGGGCCGCTCGGCTCCAAGCGGCCTGCAAAGCCTACTCGTGTGTACTCCAAATAAAACCAAAAATGGGGATTATAATGGCCATGGTACGTTCCTGTCACAGGAGCAATGAGTGCGGACAGCTGGGGGATTTCGGAGACGGGAAATGTGTTTAGCGTGACCAGCAGGTCCACCGAAACAGGGGGAAGGCCGGAGGAGGGCAGCTGCCTCGAGCACTCCTCCTGAGTCCACCAACACTTTCGCCAGGCTGTGCAGGTCACCTCACCCAGCTGATGCTCCTGTTCTCCTTCACCCGGGACCCAGGTGGACTTCCCTCAATGCATCTCCAGCCCTACTCAGCTTGCCCAACGCCCCAGGTGCTTTCTCCTGCCCTCCCTGCTCACACAAAACTAACTGGTAGGCAAAGCTCATCCGTCACCTCAGCTACGAGGTCCTACCGCCCCTGGTGATTTCTGCTGCCACTCACTCCAGGTACTCTCGTTAAGTATGAACTGTATCAGAGTAGAGCATCCTCACCAAACATGTTGTGTTTCCCAATAACAGAAGAAATAATTTTTAAAAGGCCCTTGGCTAGCTGCACCACGCTCCTCCAGACTGCAGCAGAAGACACCATCGAGTGGCATTGTGCAAGAAACCCAGGACAGCTGCGCAACCTCCCCACTCCATCTATTTAAGTGAAGCCATCCCACAGGGACAGGTTCACCCGTCTAGGCTCAGTCTAAAATCTTTAGCCTTGTCTCAAAGGAGATGGATGTGTCTGAGCTTCTTGCGAAGACGTTAGCTCAGAGACATTTCTGTCAATGGGGACAGTTTAAAAACAGCCTTATGCATTTTTACTGGGCCAGTCGACAACCAAAAGGACTGTCTCAAACAAGACGGCCTCCTTCTGGTACAGTCTTTTGGATTGTGTGGGGAGCAGGTGAGAGAGGTGAACCAACTCTAAGTGCTGCGTATCCTAATTTAAGTTCTCCTTCTCTTGTTATCCTGCCAGTGTGGCTGGGGCTGTGCTGAACCCCTTTTCCCATGAGAACGTGTAGAGAGCCCGAGCCTATAGATCTCAATTGGCAAACAACCAGATTTGCTCAGGTGTTCACAACAGCCCAAATTTCAAATGACTCTTCTGTGATATTATCATCCTCGGCTCATCAGTGAAGCAAGAAAACATTTTTTTTAATCCCTTCTTTAACATTAGCTGATAGCATTCTCAATAATGCGTTATTTCAGGGAAACAAACCTGGGAAAACAAGCTATATCGGAAGCTGCAATCCCAATTTAGAGCAGCATTCCAATTACTGAACGTGTTAACGCAAACAAATGAGCATGTAAAGGCTGTGCAGTTCAGCACAAAATAAGTCCCATCTTCTCTTCTACTCTTTGTGTCCGTATTATCTGACAACGCAATGGGAACGTGAGGAAATCCAAACCTACAGCTTACTCTGTCGGTGTATCCTATAAGCATAAGCCTCCCTTTTCTTCTTCCCTTGCTGCCTCAGGCAGGTGCACAAAGCGTGTTGCTGGCAACCTTTCCTCGATGCCACGAGCATTCCCATGCCCTCGGAGCAATGTGCAACTCATGGTACCAGTTGGACACATTTGGCCACCTGCCAGTTTAGACGGAGAGCCCGGTTTGGGGATCTTTTAATTTGTCGTGCCTTCTGAGTGTGCCTTCTCCACCCCTACAGTGCCCTAGAGCAGAAGTTAAGAAGCAGAGAGGGCCAGAACCGTTTCCAGTATTTTTGGATTAGAAGGGGTGGCATACGTGCACCAGGAATGAGCATGAATGAATTAAAAGAGGTGACAGGACAACAGCGTCCATTGCAGCAGGTGCTTCTACATGGTAATGGGACAAGCATGACCTTGTTAACCCTTCCGTTGAATTTACGTATATAGAGTTTTCGAATGAAATGCCACTCGGTGTGAAATCTGGACACACGCCGCCCTGCTACGGCGGGGGCTTGGCTCACACGGGAGTCTGCGCTGCCCTAAAAAAGCCTCTGTTCCCATCTCCAATGTGGTGCTGGAATGGTTAGTATAATTCAGTTTTTTCCACTGCAATCCACAATCTGATCGGTTGGCAGGTCACACTGGCACTCCTACCTGAGGTATTTTAGCGCTAATGATTGGTTCCTGTAAGACTATTCTATAACAGAACACAGGAAGAGCAGTTCAAAAAAACACAGCTGTGGAAAGAAACAATCATACAAACAGCCCGCGGCGGGGCTCACCAGCCTTTTCTTTCCGGCGGATGCAAGCACGCTTTTCACAGGCAGGAGTGGTCTTCACACAGGTGGTTTGTTTTGTTTTGTTTTGTTTGTTTTTTTGGTTGTTTTTTTCTTCCCCCCCCCAGCCCCAGATTGACCCCATTGTAGAGGAATGAGAACCCTTCTTAGGATCCGAAATGATGCCCTCTGCGGCCTGGGGCTGGTTGTTTTATGGATTCAGGTGTCCTGCCAGAGTGGGATGCATCCAACAAGAGGTGGAATGCCTTCTTCAGAGAAGGCGCGGCTAGCAGGATGGTTGCCCCAGGACAGAAAAAAGGAGTGAGGAAGAGGAGGAGGAGGAAAACGAGAAATCGGTGCGTAGTACTTATGCAGAAAAAGCAGCCCAAACTCGGGACACGTCCCCTTCGTCTTCCCTACCGCTAACTACTCCTTCCTAGCTCAGGGTCATTTCCACCCTGAAGCCCTAAGGGAACCTCAGTTTAATTTTCCCCCTAAACCAGCCAGGAAGGGCTAAACCTAACAGAAGAGCCCTCTGCCTTCCCTTCCACACGTCCAACCAGATGGACGTAAGCACTGCGGGGATCAGCACTGCACATCAGTGGGGCACGGGGATGCTGCACTCCTTCTACGTGTGCCAATGAGCAAATCGCTTGGAAGGGTAACTTCACATCAGGATTATGATTTTTTTTTTTTTTTCTGAGCTCTGTTGGAGGGCAGCAACAACACAGGAAAACACAGCACCACCTCCCTGGATGAGCACCCTGTCCTGCCGTCCTGCTTTCTCACAGTGAGACCTAAACCACTGGAAGCAAAGTCGCCAGAAGGTCACCACGCAGTTTTAACCTGCCTTGGAGGCTCGGCTCTGCGTTACGTGATGCTACCACACGGCAGCACCAAGTTTTCTGGTGGATTATGGGGCTTCTTCACTGCTGAAGTCCCTGTCTTTACAACACGCTAGATAAGCATCTCCTCCCCATCAGCAATGGAAGCTCTGAAGGAGCTTTCTGAAAAGGAACAGGGAGTAACCCCAGCCAGTTTTCCATTTCAACATGACAACCTTTTATATACCATGCTCTGAGGGAAGAGGCACTAGGCAGAAGGTCTTGCTCATTTGCTTGCCTGCTGTAGAAAACTCAGTGGTCTGTCGAGCTAGCGTTCTAGGAGTGAGATGGGAGAACCCAGAACTCTCGTGTAGCCCTTGACAGCATTTAATACAGGAACACTTGATTACGCAGATCAAATTTTGAGGGATGTGCACACACTGGCATACATAAGAATGAAGAAATGCACCCAAAACGTCTATGCATAGAGAGTACAGCTTCTGACTGCTGTAAACTATGATGGGCAAAGTGCCTTTATAAGACCTGACCCTCCATATAAGCCAAGAAAATCCAAAAGCTAATTCCATCCATTATCTTCAGTCTAACCCCTCAGGGTCCTCTTCATAAACGTCAGGAGCAGCAACTTCAAAGGAGCAGGGACGTGAAATCCATGCTGACAACCATGCCACTACCTATACAAAGCATCCCCAGCTCCAGAGAGCTATTACCTCTAACTTTGGGAGCTTTGCCAGAGCCAGACGAGGCCACAGGTTGTGATGGCAGTAGTGGACCTGAATATTTTGGCTATGAAGGGCACGCTCCTATCCCAGCTGTTCTGCAACAGCTCTCCATCGGAGAGGAAACCGCTTTTCTTACTGGCCAGAGTCCCTCGATCCCACGACGGCCACAACCCAGCTTTGTATACAGATGCCCTGGAGATCTGCAACACCGACTGGCTGGGTAGGACAAAGGCAATGACAGACAACGCCTCCTGGGGTATCAGAGCTAATTCCCAAACAGGAGGAGGCTGCTGACTTCTCTAACCGAACATCTCCATGTATTTGTACTTCACCTCTTCAGGGAATTGTAAAGAGAATCTAGCCTATTTAGGTACCATTTTGACTAGCAAAATGAGATGTCAGTTTTCACTCTAGCATCTCGGTCTCCATTTTTAATCAGTCCCAGTGCCTTCCCCAAAGGGATAGTCTCCACATCCCAGTGGCACAGGAACGTTTTTAAACATACAGCTTGCACTGTTTCGTGTGGGCTGCACAAATCAAACCTGAAAGGGCCCCAAGAGGGGAGAGAAAGGGGAGGGTGGAGGGGGAGAAGGAAAGGGAAGGTCTGAGGCTAAACCAGTCCTGTTATTTTTATATCCGAATTATGTAAACGAGAGAAGTGTTGAGAGAAATTTTAATTCGCTAATCATCTCTCAGGTTGATTAGTAGCAGTGTGCATGTGGGGGAGAGGACACCCAGTAAACTGACCCTGGCAATGATCAGGAAACCCAAAGGCTTAGGTCTTGCACCCAGGGGCAAGCGCAGTGACAGAGAAGCATGCTTGCATTCCTAAATATATAAATATATATATCCACAAGGAAGAAGAAAATTAAAGTAAATGATATTTAAAAAAAAAAACAAACCAAACCAAACCAAACCAAACAAACCAAAAAAAAAAAAAAAAAAAAAAAAGGCTGGCTTGTCAGGGGTTGGGGATGAGAAGGCTCCGGTGTGTGTACTTACATAGAGGTCAGCACCGTAAAATCCGTCCTGGTAAACCACACTGCAGAAAATCCACACAAAAACAAAAAAACAAAAAACAAAAAACAAAAGAACAGAAAACACATTCCGGTTATTGAGGACGGCAGCATGCACATGCGTTTTACACAGGCAGGTGATGTATGAATCCACAACCTGGGCTTTTGGCAGGAGCAAAATCAGCAAGAGAATGTGTGTGCGCACGCACGCTAGACGGCTCCAAGTCATCTTCCATGGCATGCAAAGGGGAAGGGGCGGGCAGAGGGGGAGACAGTATGCGAAGGAGAGAGGGAGGGGAACAACCATGTTGTACAATAAAAATAGACTCGAAAAGATCTGATGTCCTGAAGAAGAGAAACAAGGGTTTAGAAACCTCCACTCTTTTTTTTTTTGTTGTTGTTTTGTATTTTGTTTTTGGTTTTGGTTTTTTTCCTCCTGGAATTGTTTTAAGTTACCCCCTACACACATGGAGACATGGGCTTCGTGAAGTGGGCTTGGAAATCGAGAAGCCCCTCAGAAGGCATCCCACAGGGGCCAGAATCACCTATGTCGGAAGCACGTTTCAGAGAGTTGGGTACGATTGTTTGTTTGAGCTCCACGGGGCTGCTTGGCTTTGTTTCTGACATCCATACATCACCTGCTTTTTTACCCTGCACATTAGACATGCGATAAGATTCGGCTGATCACACAAGCATGCAAAGTATTATTATTCAGCATCTTAAAGAACCGATGCAACACCTCCGGAAAACAAGTCAATCAATTCTGATCAAAGTAAACACAGAGAAATGTAATTGAAAAGAAAAAACCAAAAATACCCACAATGCATTGCTTTCACAAGCAGAGATAATGAGCCAAAAAGGTTAGGTGACTGGTCCAAGGTCCGAGAATTGGAAGGTGCAGTGGGAGTCCCTGCTAAGTCACGGCATTTTCCAGAGCAGAGAGGAGCGACTGGGAGGGTTTCCATGGGATGGTGCCTTTTCTGGTTTAAGCCATTTGTTTGTTTGTTTGTTTGTTTTCTTTCTCTCAGAACTTCAAGCAGCAAAATCGATAAACCAGAGCCCAGAGAGCCACCCTTACCAGAGCGTTTGCTGGCATAGGACTACGCAGCTTGCCTTGGGGACAGGGGTTGGGGAAGGATGAGGAAGGAAGACAGGGTACGCCCCCCACCCGTGTGCGTTCAAGCGTGTCCTTGGTACTGAGGGATTTCCTCTTGCTTTGTCCTCTGAACAGCTCCGCACAAACTCACTCAAGGCTTTAAAAAGCATCAGCCCCGCCATCTGCGATATTCGTGGACCTAATGTGCATGACTTACCAACCAGAAGCATTAAGGAAAAAAGAAGGCATGGAGTGCTAGCTTTTCTTTTCATTATTTTTTTTTTTTTACTCATCAGATGGAATGTGAAATGCTGCCAAGAGCCTGCCACCCTCAGACACCCACCTATTGTAAGGCACGCACGCACAAAAAAAAAGCCCAGCGTATCTTGCCAAAATTCTGCATGCTATTACTAAAAAAATAAATAAATAAGTAAATAAAAATAAATCTGTTGCAGAGTTAGCTACTGCTTGAATAATTCAGTCTCGCTGTCTTCCCCAGGAAAAGTACACTCCATTCCCAATGGACAGAGCTATTGTTGTCTCCGAGAGCGCTGGGAGCAGATATGTAGATAGAGACCCTTGTTAGAGGAAGAGGGGAGCCACTTCAGCAGGGAGAAGCAGGCCATGAGATCATGTTTGTCGAAGCTAAATTTTGACAACCACATAACAAAGAATTTGGCTCCTGGGGCAGTGACTTACATTGCTGGGTTCTCTATCTAGGATCTGGAGTGTTTTAGCAGTGATACTCCACCTGCTCCTGCAGGAAAGGCAAATGCATGACAGAGGAAGTGACTTGGTTTATGAACAGGTTAGCAGTTTTAACAGTTATTCCAAACACAACCAGTTGGATTAATAAAAGCATTACCACATTGGATCAGGCCACTGTTCGTGTAACTTAGAATCCTGTCAGCAAGAGATGCTAGCATCAGCTCTCCAGAGAAAACTGCAAGGAACACTAGTAACATGTAAGAGGAAGGCTTCCTAAGTTCAAGCAACCAGGCACACATGCATCCTCTCTCCTTCAGTTGGGACCTAACTGATACCAACTGCCAGCGCTGAAATTCAGCAAGGTTTCTTTACATGCTAAAACATCCACATTTGTGATTCGTAACGTTGGCAGAAGCTTCGCTTGAGAACCACAGAGACCATTCTGGTTACGTAGACTGACCAGAAGCGTAAAGCAGCCCCATCGAATCTCAGTGGCATCTGTGAAAAGCCCAATAGATGAGCTAAAAGACATCCACAAGAACCAGGCATATGCTGATTTTGTAAAGCAGCCATCATATCATTAATCGAGCTGTACCAACATTCGACTGTATTGTAAAAGGAACCAAAACCAACCAAACAAAGCAAAACAAAAGAACAAACAAACAAACAAAAAAACACAAAAATCACTACTGCCTTATGTCTAGTCTGACTTTTATCTACTTCTTTCAGTCAGAGAATCTTCTACACATTTACACTCCTAGACTAAATGACACTTTACTCTAACAAGCCTGCTCTTCATAGATGCACCTAATGAACATGAACAAGCCAATGCCTAACCTACAGTTTGAGAAATAAAATTGATTGAGCTTACTTAGTTGGGAGAATTTTACAGTAGGCTTTTTTTTTTTAAGGTTTTGATTTAATTCTTACAGCCTTTGGTCTGAAGTGCAATTTGTCAGCTTTCGTTTAGAAAGCACAGCCGCTGCAGATCAGGGCAATATTCCTGCACTGGCTTTAGTCACGCTGTAGACTAGAAGTTATAAAGCCTCCATCCTAGTACTGAATGCTGCCTCAGTTATACACTGAAGGGTGCATTTTGTGTTCTGAGGTCAGGCTTGGGTGACTATCTAAATGGTCTGAGCAATTGCTTTCTACCGTATGAATAACCTTCCCTGGATAAACATCCATGTCCGTACATAGCCGTACGTACCTTTTACATATGTATTAGTAAATCTTTGCTTTAGATCCTGAAAAAAGTGTGTATTAAGAATGATACCATTTCTTGCACCTTCCTCTGGAGCATCTAGCACTGCAGATGCTGTCAAATATTATCCACTAACCTGAACAGCCCTCAGGTCTGATCCAGCATGGCAATTCCAACCAGCTTTTATTATTCTACATTCTGTATTTTTTGAATTCTGCTAAGCTCACACATTCAGGGGTACTGTTAAGTTTTAAAATGTATTGAAGTATTAAAACATATTTTTAAAGTTTTGTGAAAATCAGCTCCTTCTACCAGGTTTGAGTTCACCTGCAGCTTACTTTACTGTCTTCTTCCACAAGACTCTAAACCTCGATCATTCATGTGCTGCTGACAGATCTTACGGTGTCAGCTTCCCACTGGCCAGGAAGAAAGCAACTGATGCAGGGTAAGGTGTCAGGAATGTGTGACTGCCCTGACTCAGGGGAGGTCAGCAGTGCCCACACAGAGCTGTGGCTGTCCTACAGGTTACTGCGACACAGAGCTGAATAGCACAATTTGCATCATTCCCTAAGGAATCAAATTCCATCTACAAAACAGCACGTAGAGACTCCGACTGATGACAATGAACACCAGAATTAGTTAATTGCATCCCAGCGGTTGGGATGAGGGGCAGCTCTGGGCCATTTCTGAAGGCAATTTGTTTACTGCTGTCCCGCAAGTATTTACTGGATAGCACACTGCCCATGAAGACATGAAATCGGTCAGCAGCATCAGACAAACCCAACAGAATCTAAGTAAATAGAGTCACACGACAGTATCTGGAAGGGACAACCGTTGGATCCTGGCCTATATTCCAAACAGAAATAACCCCCTTACAGGGGACTCAGGCTGGGTTTAAATCAAAGACAGGGCTCGAGTCCCTCCCGGTGCAGCCCTGCTGACAGCCTCTCCTAGGCATGATCTAGCTGCTATGCCCCGAGTGAAGCACGTGCCCCCCCTCCCCGGTGCAAGCGCTGCGTATCCTCCTAGACGGCAGCACTCAGCTTTGCTTCTCTGTTTCACCGTGGAGCGTTTCCCAATCAAACAGGGCTGGGTCATTTTTAGAGCAACAGACAGACAAGCTGCAGGTCAGAGGCTATGGTTAGAGGACGTACGATATGAACTAAGAGCAGCGGTACAGAGAGGTGGATCTACAAGTCCAGAAGAACCGCTCCATTCTGAAGGCCTGTGTGCTCAGCCAGGAGGTTTCATTTTAAGTCTCTGGGTGAATTAAATACAAACATTGCCAGATTTGTCTGAGAGCAAAGCTAGACAGATACGTGACCGCTGCAGCTTGCTTCCTTCAGCTTCACTTTAAATATCAACTGGACTCTAACAAGAAAGGGCTGCAGAAGCTCTCCCTGCTTCATCTGCTACAGAAGGCATTGCAAGCTTATCCGGCATCCATCAGGCCAGATCCTTACATCCTGTGTGGCTTCCTCCTCTCTTTTTATTAAAAGATTTGTCATTTATTTTCTTCCCTTTTGGGGATAGTCTAAGGGGGGGAAATAAAAGGGTCAATCCATTTTTCCCTGTTGGAGGATTCGTCCCTACTCCTACTCTTTCTGAGAAACTTGCCTGGAAAACATGGCAAACAAAATTCCAGAGACAGGCAATATGAATAAATCATCAAAATCAAAAAAAAATAAAGAAAAAAAAAAAGAAAAAGGAAGGGATTTGCCAATGTATTTGTCACTCCATCACACTTAAACAAACAAAAATCCCCAAACAAAACCCACGTACAAACCTGGTTCCCTGTACTCTGAAGAGCAGAATACTCTTTTGTAACAGAACCTATTCCACTGCATTACTAGCAAAAAGTCAGAGGGCAGAGAAGTGTGCTGAGGCCACGCATTCACCACCGCTTCATACAACAGTTAGAAGAATGCTGCACTTTCATTCTCCCTGTAACCCAAACACTCCCAACTTCAAATTAATGGACTTGATTAATCTTTGTTTTAAACCTTTTTAAACTGTCTCCAACAAAGAAAGCAAATCCATTGTGGGTAACTGGCTCTTCTGTATCCTACTGTCAGATGGTGAGGCATGAAGGTAATGGATAATATTCCTCATTCCTGGGTAAGAAAACCACAAAGGGAGGGCAGAGAGTATGAACTTTTCAGAAATCTTACACCTCTCTTTGCATCCTTCTCAGTAGCACTACCATGTATTGGGCCAATGGATGACAAATACCAGGCAGACGAATTGAGGAATTATGAGAAGGAGTACATCAGCACTTTAGGCTGCTGCAAGAACTGAGAATTGTTTCAGGCAAAATTTAGATTTGCCCCCGTTGGGTGCCGTTGTGTGCAGAACGCTCTTGCACTTGCAATATCCCGCCTCTCACCATCCAGACAATTTTCGTTAGGTTTTTGTTAGCCAATTAGCTATTTGACACGGTTGTGCAGAGCACTCTGCTCTTGTGACCAGTGCTTACCCTGGGTAGGCAGGGATGGCTGTGGGAGGTACTGCCCGGACTGCCCCATAAACCGTCCTTCCTCGGCCCCTCAGGTGGGCTCCCCGAAACGCGGCTGCTGTGGTGGCTGCAGTTGGATAGGGGAAGCCTGGAACTGGAAAGACAGACAAGGTGGAGGGTGAAAAGGATCCGAGCTCCTGCCCAGGGAACAACCGCCTGCTTCAAACAAGGTGACACAATAGCTCCACAGCGGTGGGACGTTTTGCATCAATCCTGCAGAGGGGCATGCTTCTATCCCAGCAAGCATCGGATACATACGTCCTGCTACACCATGGCCTTCAGGGGAAGAGGGGTTGCAGAGAGGTTTGGCATGCAAGAGGTTAATGCTTCGGCATGCCTTGCCCACCACAAACAGGGTACAAATCCCCCCCTTCTGACACCGCCATGCAGTCTGGTTAGAGTCCGAGAAGCGCAGAGAGTTACTATCAATACAGCAGGCGGCTCTTCCAAAACTGCAGAGGCTCTTTAAAATAATTTGTCAAGAGGCCCTTAAAGTCAATCAACTTACATCAGTCTCTTCCCTCCTTTCCCCTCCCACTCTTTGCCACCCAATCCTCTGTATGTTCATTTTAAAGCCTGAAAGACAAGATAGCCCATATAACAGCAGCAGAAACTTCCCATCAAGTGCCAGCTTTCCGAGAGCCCCTCTTCACTTAAAAAAAAAGCGTGACCAGGACCCGGCCCCACGCCTAGCGGGGCCTGCTTCATTACTCTTTAACGCTGGCGTGAACTGGCTCACGAGGAAACGATGGAAAGCCCTCGAGGCATCTGCAAATACTGTAAGGAGCAGATGCCCAGAAGGGAGCGAGTCGCCAGGCACGAACCCAACCCAGCGCGCGCCCAGGTGCATGCCACCGGGGGCCCTGCAGGCTGGTGGTTTAACAGCGTGTATAATATGTACTTTGTAGGGATTTGTCCCTTGGGTTTCTTTCATTTCCAAGGGGCCGGGGTTGGGGGGGTGGGGGGGGAAGGGGGGGAAATCAAGGGAATGGCCTATTCCTCGCACACACCCTCCCCTTGTTCTGCAGCCTCCTCATCGCTCAGAGCCCCATTCACCAGCACAGAAACACACTGCGGATGAACAAGTTACGGCCACTGCACGGTATAGGCTTGGGCTAGAGGTAAACTCCTTCCCAGCGAGACCCATCCTTTCAAGTATATATTATACAGACTGGAGAGAAGGGAAACAGGTCATAGTTAACTCAAGCACAGCAACAATACAGGGGGCCAATGGGGGCTACTTACTGATTAAAGGAATGTAAGTGTTAATACCCCCCCTTCCTGACAGGGGCACTGCGGCGTCATTGCCCAGCGAGACATCTGCTTGAAAGCTGGACGCTAATTTAATTTTAGAAAGAATAAAAAAAAAAAAAAAAAAAAGAAAAAAAGAAAAAAAAAAAAGAACGTAAAAAAGGTTATAAAGAAACAGCAAATTGAGAACATAAACAAACACCACTGCAGTTAAATGGCAGAAGTGGAAGTGTCTACTTAAGCTCTACCTGCATATAACTCAGGGCCGTACACCGCTCCAACCACAGGACTCAACTTCCAACCTGCAACAACAAAGACTGCAGTGAATGCCAAAATCTACACCAAGAGAAGGAGCAGGCAGCGTGGGGACGGGGGACAGTCTCTTGCATGCTCCCCAGCAGCTTCACATGCAGCAGCAGCAGCTCTTTCCCAATTTCGGCTTCACCTCAATCCCCCTTGGTGTAGATGGAGGCCAACTGCCTTTTTCTAATGTCAGGTTCTAGGGACGGGTCGCTGTGCTGGAGGGAACAGCCAAACGTCAGCTGATCCTCAGCAGGGCAAGCACGCCGTTGAGGGAATGCCAACTACCTTATAAGCATGTTTGCCACGAGCACCGTGCGACCCTGAAATTCTCGGCCTGACCCTTGCTGTCAGCTCCTCCACGCGCCCAGGGGAACGCCGTGGAGCCAAAGCCTCTCTCTAAAGCCAGCGGCCCAGCCTCTCGTCCCAGGGAGGTCAATTCACACCCTTAAATCCTCAAATCACCGTTCTGCCCTGTTTGCTAGAGACCTAAAAAAGCGCCGGTGATTGAGATTTCCTCGCTAACTGAACTACACAACTGTATCGCACAGAAGCAATTCACTCTGTTCCTCTCACGTTTGTTCCTCTCCGTGTTATTTTAGCGTTTCCTGCCTTCTTTGTGCTTCATCTTTTCAGATGAAAGCCTTCCCAGAGAATCGGTTTTAATATCATCTGGATAATTGGCAAGAACTGAAAATCACCAACACAAAATATCCAAGAGAGAACCCTTCAGGTCATCACTGGCCTGCCACTATAGAAGGGGTCTGAGGAGAAATACGTTCCCCAGTCAGATCTAGAGACCTGTTATCTCCCCCACCTTTCTCTCTGGGGAGAGGAGATGGGTGTCAAGCTAACAACTTGATCTGGGCTGGCCTCCACAGAGCATGGAGAGGGACGGAGAGACCTCATCTGTTCAGCGAGCCATCACACAGGCATTTCTACTGAAATAAATCCATCCCCTTCCTCTCTGTCTTGATTTAGGAGTCCTGACACACTCGCTGCACTTTTACCACCCCTACCCAGCCCAGAAACCACAAGAACACCATTGTGAGCTGCAGCCCATCAGCACCACCCCTTCACAGGCTGGCAGAGCATCACCGAGAGATGCAGCATGCTCCTCCACACGACTGGGCATGCTGCCCTGTACTGCCACCTCCGTGGCAAAATACTGATGCAATGGTGGCAATGACAGGACTGGGATCAAACCATCAATTTAGCAGCGATTGTACCACTGCTTATCAGTGTGCCTTAGGCCTGGCCTAATACCTAGTGCCGTTACGTAGTTTTAAAGCAGACACTGTTGGCTGATAAAGCAAAATACTCCTGCCTGCTATCATGTATCACCAGTCATTTGTTGACACCAATTTGTACACGTTTCTGTCCTTGCTTTCAAGACAATGTAATATGGCCGTGTTACCTTTTACTGCCGAATTTCCCAACTTCGCTCAAACACTAAAACTCAGAATCCCAGTCTTTCTGCTTGTCCCTATCCCTATTTTGTCCCTATCCCTAATTCCCCAGTTCTGTAACCAAAAAACGATTACATGATTTGTCAAGAGCCACACAAGTCAGCAGCAGAGCCACAAATAAAATTTGTATCTTCTGATTTCTGAGTCTTAGGTGGAATCAAAACAAATTCTTGCACCAGCAACTACCTATGCTTAGCTTCCTGCGTTGCTCTAGCTGTTCAGGAACATTTTCAGGCCAAGAAGAAATTTTCCTGCCTGGTTCAGGACAAAGACTCAAATTTAAAATGTGTATCAAAGCAGCATTCAGTTCTGTCAGCAGAAGAATGATTTTTTTATGCTACATGCGTCTATGCCATAGAAGTACTGCACAGACAGAAGAACCTAGATATCCCAGTGAAACAGGATTCTTCATTAACCAAACAACTTGGTCTTTCTCTATTGAGGTTCACTGGAAAATGGCTGAATACCAGACACGGCCTGTAACAACAAGTGAACACACAAACGGTCCAAGGCCTCTGCTTTCCCAGCTGCTTGGGGACAGTTGTACTTTTACTGCTAGAACCTAAGCTGAGATATATCCAGCTCTTTGGATTATAAACCATTTGTATTTAGGTATTTAGGTGACGGCCATCCCTCTGCAGACTGGCGCAGCATCACCTTGCGGCGGTGGCAGGTGACACATCAGACCTTGGGCTCCTTTTCTAGCTTGGTCACAGTGGGCACGTCACTACCCCTCTCTGCCCCAACTTCTCCACCTGAAAAATGGTAATCCTCCATAAACTCTTAGCTATACTGAACCCTAATGGTGTACATTAGGGCTTGGGAGTTGTTTCTTGATTTTGGTGGGGGCTTTTTGTTTTGTTTTTTCTTCCCTTGAGGAGGTCCTGATGAAACACTACAACATTCCCTTCACCAGGAAGCTTTTGTCTTCCTTCCAACCTTTCAGCACATCACCAGTCCCAACAGTCTCTCTTACCATTTGCGTATGGTGTGACCATCTTCTTGTTGGTCATCACTCGCGCTGTGGCATTGTTAACCTAAAAGCAAGAAAGGGGAAGGGGAGGAGAGGGAAGGAAGCAAAGGACATTAGGGAAAATGATGGAAAACTCTCAGCTATCTCACACACACACACACACACACTATACTTCTCTGAGCAAAAAAAATTAAATAACTAATTTTACAAAAATGCAGTTATTTTAAATTACTTTTAACAATTGCCATTTTAATTTTTAACCATTACAGCTAAACATGGCATTTAAAAATTATGCATTAAACAAAAGGCCAACAAGAGTAACGTGCAGATTCTCAGACACCCTGCCACCCTTTGGCGCCTGCGGTTATTCCCAGCTCACCCATCTCAAGGGCAAAACCTTGGTGATTTCTGTCTAGGCTCTGTTCGAGTGGCAGCGACCACATTTGCAGCCCAGGACAGGGAAACTGAAGCAGGTGCTGCACAAGCTGACCTGTTCCTTGAGCTCACTGCTGGGCTGGGGCTCACAGGTCGTATGCAGGTTGACTGCTTAGACAGGAAACCTGGAGTCCATCAGCTTTAGATTGGAACTGCCAAGGTTTGAGGAGGTTTTAGGAATGCCCCCAAAATGTTTGGACAGTCCTCGTTCACCAATTTCCTCCCTATCACTCTCAGATCTTTTTCCAAATTGTTTTATCCCCCCCGAGACACAAATCTCTGGGAGCAAAGAGAAGAAATGCATAGTGGAAGAGCTGAGTCTGTTGTTGTTGTTGTTGTTTTATGGTGCCCTCCACCCTCTTTACAGAGCTCTGCATCGTTCCAAGCGGTTTGATTGCTCAAGCAAGTGGGGTGTTACCACAGAGATGGTGCTGATAAAGAAAAGATGGACCAGTTCGGAAGCCAAGTTACTGCAGCCCCGTGTCAGACAGCCTCAAAGTTCTTGCAAGGAGGGTGAAGTTTTATCCAACATCAATAATTTATCAAAGCACATGCCAAATGGGAACTCAGGCTAGGGTTAAGAAGAAAAAAAAAAGAATACTATAAAAATCAAAGCTGCTCTAGGCCCTTGAGGCTTATGGAAAGGTGAGCGTACGCGGGGTGGGGAATCTGGAACTACATTTACTCTTGCTTCAGCCCCAAAACGATAGAAACATTACACATTTAAAAAAGAAAGAATGGGAAACAACAATGATGAGACTGAGAGCATGCAGTTAAACACACACAGATAAAAGAAAGAAAAAAAAAAAAACACAATTGATTCGGGGGTGGGGAGGGAGGAGGGAGGAGATAGGGTCTCACAGACAATCATTAAGATGGAGCGAGTGCCTGAAATCAGCTGCTACAGCAAAGTGCAACACAAGCACTTAAAGGAAAAATTGCCAGAACCGATCAGAAACCACCAGTCAGCAAAGAGACCAACAGCTGCATTTAACCGAGTAAAGAAAAAAAAAACGGGGAGGGGAGGGAGAGAGAAAGAAAGAAAGGAAAGGAGCGGTAACAGCTACAAACAGGTCTCAGAAAGAGAGCGGCAGAAAGAAGGGGCAGGAGAGAGAGGGGAGGAAATGGGTGCATTAATAAAAACCAGCCAAACTGGAGTTCAGTAACTCTGAGTAAGATGTGCAAGGGGAAATCACCATGAAGTCAGTAATCAAACAGCTCAGACTGCTACAAAACGATATGTACATCCAAAGTCCAGGCGGCATTACTCAACAGCATTGAAAATAAAAGGGGGAGAGGGAGGAAGGAGGCGGGTGGGGACAACAAGTCAAATCACATTTTGTAGTGTTAATGTGAGATGGCAGATGGATTTTTTTCTTTCTTATTTAATTTCGTTCTTTTTTTTTTTTCGTAATTTTAAGAAAAATTAAAAAAGAAAAAATAAAAAAAAGCTTCTTCTCTAGCGCTTTCGTTTCACTTACCGCCAACTCGTACCATCGCCAGCATTGTGTATAGTTACCATGGAAAGAGTGAGTCAAGTGGAGGGCCCTAAACCCTAAACCATCGAAAAGGGAAATAAAAAGAAAAAAAACAAAAAAGAAAACAAAAAAAAAGCAAAATATGCAGACATCTTACTCAAAACGGCGGCTTTTTTTTTTTCCGTAATTTTCATATTCGATCAATATTTGCACTTTTTTTTTTGTTGTTGTTGTTCGTTTGTTTCAAGAGAGAGGGGAGAGAGGGAAGGGCCAGTTAGCCTTCACCACAGTGGAACACCAAACTGGCCAACGCCACCCCTTTAGGACCAAAGCGAGAGCTAGAAACGTTTAAAGACCGGCTCCCACCGTGACCGGGAGCCCTTCTGCCCCGCCGCCCTCCCCGCCCGCCGCGGGCATCGTCTCACACTTGCGTGGAGGAGAACTGGCCTCGGAGGAAAGAGAGGAGACTGGCTGGCCCCCTGCTTTCTGTGCGGACACAGAGTTAGAAGTCGGACAGTACTCTTTCGGTTAGTGTCGTTCAGGCCTGCTAACAGGAGATCGGAGCCTCGCAAACTGAAGCAAAGGAAAAAATCAAGACAGCAGAAGGGCAAAAATTTGGAGTGGGTGGGAAAAAAAGAAAAACAAAAAACAAAAAAGAAAAACAAAAAACACAACTCAATAAAAGGAAACGGAAAAGAAAAAAAATATACCCAAAACAACAATAAAAATATTTCGTAAAGGGGGGTAAACTTTTATACATTTCAGTGCGGGGAGGTGAAGGACACAGACACAAACACACACGCACACACGAGACTGGGATCCAAATGTGAAATAAGTGAGGCAAGACACAAAAAGAAATCAAAAGAATAAATATAAAGAAGAAATTGAATTACTGAAGACATGCACCTCGATTTTACGGCCCTCTACCACGGTGCCGTGTAATTTCTCCCTGGCCCTGTCTGCATCAGCACTATTCTCGAAAGTTACGAACCCGAATCCCTGCATGCAGCGGGAGAAGGGGGGAAAACATGCACATCGTTATATATTGAAATACTGATCTCTAGGTAAATAGAGAAAAAATATCACAGTATGAAATCGACATCAGCACAACTCAGCAATAACCTCCTAGAGTCACATTGTTGGTTCATGCATGTTTCGTAAATGAAGGAAATCAAAATTCAATAAAATAAAGGAACTGTAATCATAATAAGAATAATAAGAGTAATTAAAAAAAAAAAAAAAAGAAAACATAAAAGCAATTGAGGCCAGACCAAAAAAGAAGTACAAAGTTACTCGAGACAAATTTTTTTAAATTTTTTTTTTCTTTCTTTTTTTTTTTTTTTTTTCCTTTTTCAAGCTGGTTCGGCCCACGCGGGGCTCCTGCCCTCTCTCTCCCTGACCATGAAGACGCACGCGGTGCCGACCCCACCAACCCCCCGGCCACGGTACAGGCCATCGGCACTGAGCAGCACTTGGTCCTCTTGAGCAGCCGCTGCAAGAGAGAGCAGCGAGCTGAGCTGAGTTCAGGCCCGGCACCGGGAATCCTGCGAAGCTTTGGGCAAATCAAAGCCTGAACCTTGCTTTTCCCACCTGTAAAACGGAGACAATAATAATTACCTACCTTGGAGAACGGCTGGGAGGAAGGGCTGTTTGTAAAGCATCCCTTGCAAGCTCTTCAGGGAACAGTTCATGGCTACTCCTAAGCCTGTAACCTCCCTAATAACGCATGGGGAGGGCTTCTGGGTAGCACCAGATGAACATCACCCAAGGTGAAGATTTACAGTACTATGCAGTGGTCTAGTTTCAAAATTTGCCTACCTGTAAGCACCATGCTGGTCTTGAGGGTTAATCTAAACACCTAAATATGGATCTATTGGAAAAAGACTTTTTTTTTTCTGGTGTTTCTGCCCTACTCCTCCCTCAGAGCCTGCCACCCATCCCGCTTGGCTTTGTTCTGAGATGGCAACCTCTGCGCTGTGGATGACGAATCTCTGCCTAGAAACGCTATGAAGGCTGCAAAAAAAAACAACGTGCCCTGCTGGGTGCAGCCACAAAAGCTTGGGGACTACCAAAACGTCCTTTATTAGAGGGATTTAGGTTTGCTGAGCCCACGGTGGCACATGCAATGCTCCCGTCCCACATGCTGCCATCAGTTCATGCGGTCACATAGGAGGGCAGGGGAAGAGATCATGCTCACTTCCACAGAAGGGGAGCAGTGATGGTCAAGCAGAGCCAACAAGACCGAGGGAAGTAGGAATTAGCTGGTAGCAAAATGTATTTTACTACAGACAGCCACGAGGAGATACTCTTCATGCCACTGCAGGGAGCGGAGCCAAGCGAAAACTCAGCGACAGTCTGTGTTTAGGGTACCTTGAGAACAGGAGGAGGAGAACTGGCTCCTGGCTACAAGGCAAATACCACTCTAATGCACAGGCAGCAAGCTCTGCTGGCGCAGGAGGAGGGAGAACAAAGCCTGCATCTGATGCAATGGAAACTCCTGATGTTAAGCAGAGCACCAGGTAAGGCGAGCGACCCAAAGCACTGGCATGCTAGCCTGCATGCAGCTCAGGGTTGGCATGCGTGGACCCCCAAAAACCAGCATCTGGATTTCCAGGCACCGTTAGCAACGAGACACAAGCAAGCTGTCATTCTTTAAGTGCTTTTTTAAGGTCTGTACAATAGTAATCTTGGAAAGCCCCTTTGTGCATGCTGGCCTTTATCATCCACAGCTAGGTCTCCAGCACAAAACTATTATGTATTTGTAAAATGTAGGGGGTTTTTATTATTATTATTATTATCCTCTAGAATCAGCAATAACAAAAAATCCCTAGCTAAGCATTGTCTCATATTGAAATCAACAAGAACTCTCCTTTGGGCACCAGCCCCCTAATCTAAAATTTGGGATAATTTCATTTTGTCAGCTTAAAACATAAAGGCTATACAAATAACAAACCATTGCCTTGTTCTGAACAACATATATGTTTTCAGCAGAAATCAATTAAAATGGGAGCTACAAGAGATCAGGGCTAATAAATCAGCCCAACCGCATGCAGCTGTCAAGCAGGTTGCATGGAACTGATGGGGGGGAGTGTAATAGCCAAGCTGATTATGAAGGGACAGTGTATTTTATCTGCTTCAAAGAACCCCTACAGAGAAAGGGAAGACTGAGAAATAGAGTAACACGTTTCCCTCTGTTCGATATAATGGGGAAAAAGCATCTTGAAAAAGGTTTGGGGAGGAGGGGAGGTTCAGACTGCAGCAGCAATCTCTATTTCCCTCTTCTCTTTTGACATTAAAATTTCTGTTTGTTCTAGTCAATCCTGTAGAGCCTGAATGAGATTTATGTCTTCTGTGATGCTGTGAACTGAAAGCTGGAGAGCAGAGGGAAGGTAATTTTTTAGACATTAGCCTGCGCAGACTAGAACCAAACTAAGACTATTTTAATTCACATTTGTTTGTAATGAATGAAGTCTGTATGGGATTTTAAGAACAGATTATCATCAAACACCTTTAAACTGATTTTGAATTTTCTGTGTTTTTAATACGTTAAATCAAGAAAGGCTACAATCCGCATGCAGACTATCCAGGAATAATTAACAATGTGAACTAAAACGGAGTTAACTTGATTCTGAACAACTTAACTAATTAACCAGAAGTTTTGGTGTACTGACAGATCGGTCCTTGGCTTATGCAATGCTTTGTTGAAAACCATTTCATGTCAACGCTGAATTAACACTTCACATAGCTGACTACGGTAAGAGTCAATATTTGTGTCCGCTTGGTTAGTCTTCTTAATGCAACCCTTTGACATTCAAATTTTCAATCAGGAAAAATAGGTGAGCCACGCTTGACATTTCTATTATTTCTAAGTTTAAAAGCTAGCAATTAAATACACATATTTTTGATGTGGGAGAGAAAACAACACATACATATATTTTTAATTCCTTCTCACAGATGACCTGCAAAGAATAGGGATTAATTTGTACCCAAATACATATACAACAAGCAATTCTCAGTTTTCCCTCCCAAGGTTGGCTTGCCCTTAAAGAAAAATAAATTAAAAAGGAGGCAGATAACCAATATTTGCTAGCTCAGGTCTACAGCAAGCACTGGTTTGCCCCACAGTACTAGATATGGAGCCAGAGGAAGGGAAGATACAATCCTGGGTTAAGAAAAAAAGACTTAACGTTTCTAGAGTTTAGTTTATACAAATAACTCATGTTTAATAAGACTGTTATGATAACAAGGCTGAATTTTTCAACATTTCCCCCTCCACCGACTGCCAGGAACTTCTCCCAGGCAGAAAATAAATTTAAACCTCAACATACCCCACAAACACTAAATAAACCCTGCAAAAAAAATTTAGGACTTATGAGTAATTTGCAGGGCCAGACTAACCCCCTTTTTACCCAAAGGGCCTGAAGAGACCGAGTAACTGTCACCCTTTTAGTCTGGCCTCAGACTCTGCAATAAATAACAAGCAACATGATGAGCAGTGTAAAAAATAAATAAATAAATGTATATAGAGAGAGTATTTGAACGTTTCCATCTCTGAAGAATGAGAAAGAAAATTTACCATGTAACCGTAAAGGGAGAAATCAAAAGCAGACGGTTCTCCTGGGTGTGGCCAGAACACAGAAATTAAACAAAAAAAAACAACAAAAATATAAAATAAAATAAAATAAAACAAAAAACAGAAAATAAAAACAAAGGAAACTAAACAGAGCCCCTTGAAATCCATGCATTGTTAACCCTTTGTTTGTCATGGAGTTTAGACAGTCACCTCAGCAGCAGCGTCTTTGCCTTGTACCCCTAGAGCACGCAGCCAGCAATGGGCTTTGCCTTCCTCTACTGCTGTGCTCTTGAGTTGTTGGGTTGTGGGTTTTTTTTAATTTATTCCCCCCACCTTTGCTTATAAACAAACTTTCAGGAGCCTGAAAAAATACGGCCAAGGGGCAGAAGTTTAGGCTACCTGTTTCCAAGGCGTTTGAGAGAGGAGGAAGGTTTCAGCTATAATCCACCTGAGATGAGCAGGACTGGGTGCACCGATGGGAACGCTGCCCGAAATTCAGAAGCACAAGGTATCAGAGTCACACACTCACTTCATACTGGTGTAAATTAAATAGTGTAAACTGAGGCTGCCATCGTTTCAGCAGCCTTTCCAGCTTCCCTGTGCTGCTCCGGGGGCATCAGGCACGGATGCACAAAGCATCCACCCAGCTGCCTACCTGTGCCGTCTAGTGAAACAGATGCAGGAATTACTCTGGCTAAAGAAATGCAAATAAATAAATAAATACATCATTTAAAAAAAAAAAAAAATCCAAAGAAAAAAAATCAACAGCGGGGCTATTTTTAAGCTGGATCACTTCCCCGATCCAGCTTGTTGCGCCGCTCCACTGCCAATCCCTCCTGCAAAAACCGAGAAGGGGGCAGAGGACGGGGCTGAATGGTGGGATTGCAGCCAGGGCTGCGAGCGCTGGCGGCTCTGGATCAGCTCCAGCCAACTCGGAGCAGAGGTCGTGCAGCCCCACAATTTGCTGGTTGTGTGCTCCTCCTCCTCCTCCTCCCCCCCTTCATCTGACAGGGAGTTCACCTTGCTGTGTGGTCAGCAAGTTCAACATGCTAAACCAGCAGAAGATGAGCTCTTGCTTCTACTTCTCTCTCCCTGCTGGATTTTTATTTTTTTTTCCTTTTTTTCCTTTTTATTTTTTTTTCTTTTTGCTAATTTGGCACCCTGAATTCAAGTCCCTGCACGGTGACATGAGCACCACGAGGAAGGTGCCCCTTCCCACAAGGAGCACCAAATCGGCTTACGCTATCACTCCATCAACCTCAGCCTTAAATACTCAAATTCAAGTAAACCAGCTCACCGTGTATGGACAAATTTAACTCGTTAATTTATTAGTATCACTGAGTTGAAGGTGACCAAGGCAATTCACCGTTCTTAACTAAACTAGGACAAAAGGTCAGGTCTCCTGCAAACCGTGAGCATTATGAAGGGATTTGGTGACCTGAGAAAGTGACACTGCTTTATGCCTAATTTGTTATTAAGCCTCTTTGTGTTAATAACTTTATGTGAATTTCTGGCTCAACTGATGATATCTGAACAAAATTACAAAAATAGAATTAAAGTGAAAACGAGCCCTCTGGAACAAGGAAAGGTACTTGTTTCCCTGAGTAGAAACTAAATTCAGGACAGCGTGGCTCTCTCAAAGCACCTAATCCACTCCAAGAAGACATAAATGCACATGGCAAGCATACGGTCTTTTAGGCAGAGTTATTCAAACCTAAATGAGTATTATTAACCTGCAGTTAACTGCAAACATGAAGACTTAAGTGCTTCCATACAGCTTTCTGCACAGGTTTTTAGTTACTTCACGTTTCTTGATGGACCTCCACTCACTAATGGATGGAATTTCCTTGTGAAGACTGGACATAAGCCTCTACACAACCAATTTGTCAAGCAAACATGAAGCACTTCTAGATGCTTCAGTCCTGCACAAAAACCTGGAGACCAACCTCCTTTTTAAGGATCTGGGCTTCCAAATTGGAAAGCAGAGGGGAAAAACTTACGCTGACCTGAAACCTCGAGCTTGTAATCTGCACCTGCATGACCTCTTACCATTTAGCAATCTACAACGTGCTCCCTCCTCAGCCACTGCTTTGCTGTGTGCTTACGCTTTCTTGGTCTCTGAATGTCACCAAGGGCACATCTCAGAATGCCAGCTGGCACGCGGCTGGCGAGCAGAGAGCTTGGATTCCCTTCCCCTGCAGCTTCATGAATGTCACAGGCTTCTCGTTTAAAGTGCAACACGAGCAGACCGCAGGAATTCTGCAAATGTGTCTGCCCGGTCAGTTCAGCACAACCGTGTCAAAACCTGCATCTGCAGGATGCTTCTCCGCTGACGAGGGGAGCAGGAATCCTATCCCTCGACTTCCTCTGGAGGTGTTTTATTCAGGGTTCAGCAAAGCGCATGGTGAGCTGCAGCCGTGAGCAGGATGTTATTTAAAGGCCTTTATTTACATGGGTCAGAGCTCGAATTGTTACGGTAAACAGGACAACTGCAGCAAACAGCTAGCTTCCAGGAAGCAAGCAAAAAATAGTAAATAAATCAGGGGAAGGCTGATGTCGTTCTGTCATACAAGCTAAAGAATAAAACGAAATGAAATTCAAGGGATGTTTGAGGTTTACACCTTGTTTTTCATACGGAGCAAAGCAGTATCAGTGTGAAGTCTACCAAGGTCCACCTAATCCTACTAAACAGATTGAATCTGGGCAGAAACTGAGTTAGGAAACAAGAACTCACGCTGCTTTCAGAGGAGGATCAGCAAAACTCATTATTAGCTGCCTCCTCCTCTGCTGTGATGCAGGAAGCCAACAAACACCACTTCCTAAGCCAAGCACCAGAACCTGAGGCGCGAGGCGGCCGCGACGTACGCGCGCTGCTCGTCCTTTGGCCACCAAACTTCCTAAAAGCGTGGAGATCCCAAACACGTAGCCTGTCCTCTACAGTTCCCTCGGGTGCAGCGTCAGGGCCTGGTCATCTCAGGTGGATTCGAAAGGAAGGACGCAAACCACAGGTTTCCTCCAGGCCCTCCTGCCCGCCAGCGCTGGAGCGCTTCCAGCAGAAGCTCCTGCCCCAGCCGGGCAGGGACAAAGCGCTGCTCGACCCCATCGTCCGCTGGGTGGGGGCAGACCCAGGGCAGCGTGGGATTCACCGCTGTAACCTTTTAAATGTTTTCAAAACATATAGAGAAAACTCTACACCCTCAGGAACCCAGGGGAGGGAAGGGAGCATTGAGAACACAGCACAAGGCAGGCAGCAGGAGCATCTGCTTTCGGATTCCCAAAAGAGAGGAGGAGGAGAAGAAGAGAGAGAGGTTTCATATCATTAGATTAGAATGGAAACCACAGGGCAGGAAAATGCATTCAGATTTATTTTATTTTTTTTTCCTAAGGTGGAGGAAGAACCCAAGAGTGAGTGAGTGGCCTCCAGAAAGATCCGTTTCCTTTGCTTCACCATCAGATCACCAAACTGTTTGTCCATTGTTACGTGAATACCAGGTGCTTCGTGCAGCTACACCCCACTCAAACACTGGGGCCTCCCATTTTCATGCTAAGCAGGAGTAATCTTGCATTCTTTTTTTTTAAAAACATTAATTCTTTTGGGTAGAGAAGGATGCAAGGATACCACAAAATTATTCGTTGGGCGTTTTCTCATTCTGTTCAGATTCTGCCCCATCCCTCACATCGGCTACCAGTTCTGCAACTGCTTTTTGCTCTAAGATGACAAAAAAGCAGCAGAAAACTGCACGGTCAAGGACTCGAAGAATATCTCTTTGGATTGCTTTCGTTTTTCATATGTTTATCAAGGGTTCAGGACGAGATTGATCAAGGAACTCTTCAGCAACAATTTCTGCTTTAACTGAAAACCAGAAGCCTTGGGCTTTAACAACTGCAGAAGAAAACAGTTTTCATAGTCCTAAATCAAGTCTTCACAGAAAGCCTCCTATGTTAGTGTTGCCCAGAAGGAAAAGGGCAGCCGTGGGCGTTTAATATAGGGCTGTATGGATGGAAAAGTGAGGGTGAAGTTCGTGTATGGAGAAGAAAACGCTGTGCTGGAAAGCACAAGCAGAGGGAGATGGAGGATAGAGCTCACTGCTTTGTCAGGACAGTTATTTTTGCCCTTTCTTTTGCAATTACATCCAAAAAAGTAGAGATCTGATAGAGGCCAGAGGCTATTCCCAAAGCCAAATAGAAATGACTAAAACCGGGTCTAATTCGCAGACAGCTCTGGCCTATAAATATCAGAAGAACAGCAGAGAGCAGAATAAATATTTACAAACTCAGCATAGCTGATTGTTTTGGTAAAGCGTATAGATTTTTATCCACAAGGCAAGTACAGCTCTCTAAGCCACATAGCCATTTACTCGTTCAGACTGTTTTATTAAAAAACAAAACAAAACAAGAAAAACCATGCTTGTAAGCCCAAACTAAGGATGGGGAAAGGGCTAAATCTCCTTTGTTTTGTACACAGGTCAGCTGCTTTCTGGTTTCCAGATAACGCAGAGACTGAAGAAGTTCCCAATGCGTCTTGGTGAGCACATGTTGAAATTTGCAGAGGGCTCTGAACATGAACAGACCCCAGGACACATGTTGAAGCAAAGAGGCCACCTTAAGGTCGTGAACCTCAAATTCAGGAGAAAGACATACAGGCTCTACACGGAAACTGCTTAGCTGAATTGCAACTTCAAAATCTCTTGTGTGCATGCACACATGTGCACACACGTGTGTGGGGGGAGTAGGGAAATTTTGTTTTAATTGAAAATGGGAATCTTAGCATTGATTAAGTCAAGCAGAGTATAGACATGCACTGTGCAAGCTTCCCCCATAGAGCTTTGGCAATGCACCTCGCTCCTGACCTGCACAACTCCCTGCTATTCCAGTGCTGAACCTCCTGGGCAGAGAGAGAATCACATCAATTTGTCATTGTGGTGATACTGGTTACGTGATGAGAACCAATTGCCAATTAGGACAAAGATCACTGAATCTCTCTGCAACTGACCTAAGCAACATCTGAAATCTCATCTCCAGAGAAACAAATTACCATTAGCTCTCAACGAAACCTCCCTCTTAACACGTTTTGGAGATGAAGATAGGTGTGCGAATGCAAATTCAGTGGGGGGAGGTCCACGGGGGCAGGGCAAGGGGAATGAGGATGCTTTTACGAAGCATCAGATATCTCAAACGTGAAAGGTCAGAATCTCAGAAATACCAGGCAAGTCTGCAAAAGAGAGTAAACAAAATCCTTCCACATTTGAGATATTACACTTTTTTTCTCTGGAAGTATTTTAATGCAATGAAGATGGGGGGTGAGGGGAGTGGGGCTATTATGCTTTGTTTTTACCAGCTCCCGTCACATGGAGTTGTTTTTACCTTATTCTGCCTTCCCCACAGGGCACCCATTGCTAGTGCAATGAGAAGGGGTTGGTATGAAGGCTCAGCTGACTCCCTGTTTGCTCAAAAGGCTGGGGAACCTGATCCCACGTTACAGACAGGAGCGTCTAGGAGCATTCGTACATGCTGCCCAGAAATGACCATGCTCAGAGTCTGGAGTCAGAGGGAACAGGAGACAGTCCTCAAAATAGGTTTTCCCTTCCCCCATCACGCTAATTCCTGCTGATCTCTACAGAGTATATTCTCTAGGCAATGAACTGCCTTTTACTCTGTGCAATCAAAACAAGAGAAGCAGGTACAGGAACAGGACTTACCTTGGAGCCGCGCTCATTAAAGATTATCTCTACATCAAGGATTTTGCCGAATTGCTGCAGAGACAAGGGGAAAGAAGAAAAAAAAAAGATTTATTTTTGGCAATCAATTTTTTGTACCTTTTAGGTGCTGGCTTAACACAAGAAGGGAGGTGAGAATATTTCCATTTCCAGCATACAAGCAAAAGCATAAAATCCCAGTGACATGACCCAGTTCTCTCAGGTTAGGACACACAAAACCTCTTGGTCACAGACCCCAGGTTTTCTCATGAAAGTCTGAAGGAAGAAAAACAGTCTCTACAAGAGTTTTAGGGATTTCAGCTGGTTTCCCCCTGCTGGCTTCCCCCTCACCTCTTTTAATCTAAACAGCTCTTTCTTTCCTCATTCCACTATTTTATCTAAGACATGGTTAAATGATTTCATCTAAGACTTCTAACAACAGTCCTCAAACGTAATTCAGCATTTCATCTTCCTCCTGAAGTGGCTATCACAAAGAAACTGAACAGTGAGGATGTTTCTCTGGAGGGGATAGTCACAAAAGACTCCCGGCCCTAGAAATTCCAAAAACTCTAAATCCCCTCGTTTTCCTCCTTTACTTTTGGAAACTCAGCCTTCAAAAGAATTAAGGGAAGATTCAGAAACTGAACACGGCCAAATCACAACAGGTCTTTTTTGTTTGTTTTCAAAAAAGATCATTCACTTCAACCTGTGACATACAGGAAGCTGCTGAAAACCCATGTAACTTTGTCATGTATGATGATCCCGATTTCTGCCTTAGCCTGGAGACCCCAGGGGAGAACAGTGCCCCGCTGCTCTGTGCTGTTTCAACAACTGGCTCCAAAGATCTCACCACTTAGCACAGAACAGAAAGTGGGAAATGAGGGCTACAAGCTAGCAAGGCAATTTGCCACACCGAGGAACCATGTATTGATCACATCCCTTGCCTGGGAACATATTTTAGTATTTATATTGATCTGGCCAGATTCAAACCAGTATTCTGTACATAAAGGTATTAGCACTTCAGCAGAGCCCCACAATACTCTGTCAGCTAGAAATATCAGTGCTGTAGTTATTTCCAAATGGGAGGTTTACTCTCCAGAAAGACAGCTCCAAGATCTCATTCTCAGGAACACACACACGTGGAGCCTTCATTCCAGAAATACCTATTGCTTTCAAATCAAATACGTACCCCATCCTTTACCAAAGCTCTCAGCAACACGGTTTTCATCTTACTGCCTGCAGAAGTTTTAAAGGAGGTAGGAAATGAAGGAAGAGGCAACAGGAGAAGAAAGAGTGGCTTAAGACTAAGGAAAGATGGTGAACACAACCTCTGGGCATTGAAATTCTACTTTGCCACAGTGCTCTTAATACAATATTTGCCAGTTGTTTTTTTTTTCAGTCAACCTTTCCATATGTAGTCGAGTAGGTATAATGCTTATTTTCTGGGCGCTCTGCTTGAAAGACTTGTCTCCAGATTTGCAACTGTGGAACATTTGCAACAGCAAGCTATGATGACTACAGAGAAGCTTTGAATATGTAAAGCAGTAAAAAGCTATTAAGTCCCTTCAATCGTCTTTATGCAAACCGAATACTTCCAACAATTTTAGCCGTAGTTTCTGTCTGCTCCCATCTTCCATTCTTAAAAAGGAGATGGTTGTATTCTTTTACAAATGCTGGATCACAGATGTTGTTTTTACTGTTCTATTGTTTAAGGACAATACTTGATCTCCTATTCATCTCAAAACAATTGAATTCACAATATCCTACGTTACCCGAAGTTTGAATAATGCTAATGTAAACGTGAACAGTGACTGCATCTTCCCTGAAACCTCAACATCTCAACAGCTTCAGCTTGATCCATGCTGGATCCTCTTTTGACCACTGCTGTGCCAATCACAGCGAAAATACATTTTCTATTTCTATCCCACGCTTGGTGTGGGCTTGTCTATAAAGGAGATTAGCCGTTGATTGCTTTTTGTTGTCTTTGTTGTTTGGGCACTGCCATGAAAGAAATCAGTCATGATTGCTTTCTTGGTAGACTATTTCAGTGTAGTTACACGACAGGGGCTGAACCAATTTAACAGCTCACGGCTGCCAAAGGGCTGTCCCTGCTCCTTCGTCCTTCCTGCATGGGCTCCCCAGCTTCCTAAAGCTGGCCCCCGTTCTCATTCTCACCCGCAGATAAACTGATACAGCTCATCAATCCCACCAAAAAAAAAAAAAAAAAGCCCAAGAAATGGAATAAATAAGACATTTTTGATGCTTTACTGGTTCAAAGGGTCAGGAGAGTGTTAGGGCTCTGGGAAGCAAGGGAGGATGGAAAGCTGCACACTCAGCCCAAGAACAGGATCTGTCCCTGCCAGATCAGCTCAGCTGCCGAGCCCTGCCACGCGCGCTGAAACAGCCGGGCTCTTGATAGATGCAAATGCCAAAATTATTTTCAGAATCTTCAGAGCCATCAAAAATCACCGGTTTCTTCTTCATTAGAATCATCTTCAAAGAGAACAAACTGTGCAGCTTCTGGTGCACAATTATGCCTTGCCATCTTCCCCTTTCTCCACACCCAGCTGGGCCTGGGTACTCGGGTATCACTGCCAGAGCTGTTTGCCAGCCCTGTTCGGCCAAGCTCACTGCTCAGGGTTTCCACACCAACAGGAAATCCTGCCTTGTATGTTTAATTCCTCGGGAGCAGTAAAAAGCTGGTGGTAATTCTGAATGCAAGCCGTCTGACCCAACTCCGAGACAGGTGGTAGGGCTGTCTCTGTGCCTCGAAGATGAAGGAGATATATATGTTGTTTCCTCAATTATAATTAAGATCATCAAATCCTACTGCTGCAGCAAGCACCATGTGAAGCCTGCTGCAAGGGGCTACAGCCACCTGTGCAATCTGCCCCCATCTCTGTTCCACCTAAAAACTGCGAAGAAGGAGGGAAGAAACTTTTGGGGACAGAAGGGACAACAGCAGCTAACTGCTGAACTGAGGTTTGCTTGCTGGGGAGGGGTTTCCTGCTCTGTGAAATTCCCTGGAAGAAAGGAGTGTGGCTGCGAGGCAGGAGGACGAGTGCTGGGCTCTCCAGGACTCTGCCACAGCTGCTCTGGCAGCTCTGAACATCATGGCTCTTGTCCTTAACTGCTGCAATGGTTACAGCAGGTCCAGGACTGGAGGCACTGTTTTGTGTTTTTTTTTTTTTTGGTAGCAGGCCAGAATTTTCCTGAAGAACGAAAGCAGGGGGAAAAAAAAAAAAAAAAAAGAACTAGTTCATTTTAGCGGTTTATATCTCCTTCAAAGCTGAATCTAATTTAGAGGAACATAAAAAGGCACTTTGTTCTCCGATGGTGCTTCCCCTACCAAATGTCAACAGCTTACGGCAAACAATGGAAGTTTTAAGAGCTCCTTTGCAAGAGGTTACAAATTTTGTATGGAAAATGCTAGGCCGTGTAAATAAAAGGGTCAACACCAAATGCCCTCCTAGTAATTTTTTAAAATCATGTATACAGGCATGTTTGTGTTTTACAGCAGACAGAGGGTCTGGCCAAATAAAACAAGATCCATGCTTAGGTCATCCATGATGGGGACTAACCCTCTAATCTCTAACCTTGAAGACATGAATCACTGTGCTCACAGACCTGCCTCTTTCACTCAGTGATTACCATGAACATCTATTTACAACGCGGCACAGCAGCAGTGGAAAAAAAAAAAAAAAATCCTGACCAGAGTTCACAGCCTCTGAAGAAAGCATTGTGGAGTTACACATCTCAAATGCTCCCCACCGTGACTTCAACAGCTTGCTGTGTGACCAAGGAGCCAGCACGTCCCGCTACACGTCAGGTTGTGCAAGAAGCCTCCTCTGTGAATTGGTCGTGCAGCAGAACCATATCAATCATACGGCAGGTGGGGACGTATGTGTGGTTTTTTGTTGTTTTGTTTTGTTTTCCGTAAAGCAGGTAAATGAGAATCATCTCCTATACGACAGCAGCAGGGGCTGTTGGAAATAACAGTTTTAAGGAGCATAAATGTATTAAGAGACCTCAGCTATGAACAGGACACAATTTTCTTGCTTGAACTTTTCGTACCTTATAATAGACGCGAGGGCATTGTGCAAGGAAGAGCATGCACTCTTTGTGTTTCTTTCTACCCAGATGACACGAAGGCAGCAGATTTTTCCAGCAGAGGCCATAACTACATTACATATAATAAATTTGAGAGATCTGGCACCAGAGAGCTTTTGCCTTCCAAGGCACTGACAGTTTCATAGGGCCCCTCCTGTCTGCTCTGTTCCAGCTGGCCCTACCTCCTCTCTGTCTAGAGCTTTCAAAAATCAGCTCTAAAACGTGCCAGACAAATAACTTAACCCTAAAGATGCCGGTAACAGTAAGTAAAGGTGAATTCTATAGAAATTATGGAACAATAAAAGGTAATGTAAGCCACCATCTGACAACCTCATATCCCTGCAACAGAACTTTGTATGCCCAAGCAGCTTTGCAGTGGCCCTACACAATTCACTTAGAGGCGAGTGCAGTGAGCTACCTAAACCTAGAAGATACATAACAGTCCTTTTTCAAAGAGGGTTTAAATTCCACTAGAAATTCAAGATTGCCAAGAAACAAATTGCCTATGCAAGAAATAATTTCAGGACCTCAGGCTTGAGGTGCGTGAGCAATGGTGCTCTGCCTGCAGGACAGGTCCCAGCTGCACAGAGTGCCCCTACAACCCCAGCTCCCTGCTCCATGGGCTGTCTTTCATCTGGGACCAGCTGTCTCCATCATAGGACGTATTAGTCAGTGCTTAGTTATGACAGTCTGGAGTCTGCCAGAGCTGAACCGCTATCAAGGCATGAACTTCCTCACCTAAAGCTGGGTCATTGCTCTTCAAAACAGTGGGGCCAAGCCTGCTGTGCCTTCAGCCAAACTGCACCAGTATGCTCGGCTGACAGGAAGATAAAAGCAACAAAGATTTGTAAACCAAAGCTCTACCATAGTTTAGCAGCTGAATAGATGGTAAACAAGCACCACCAAGCCCTTATTAGGGTTGACCTGTTGCCCAACACACGTTTTCT